TTGCAATTTTTATTAGCATATACTAATCTATACAAGGGAGGACTTCATTGTGACATTCCATGCCCTTACATAATGTATTCCAGTGCGTTTCCCACATCACTCTCCCTTACCACACTCTCCCTCTTCCTAGCATAATTTCAGCAGACTTTCTTTTTCTTTTTTTTGGTTGGTTGTGGGGGTTGAACTCTGGGCCTGGGCGCTGTCCCTCAGCTCTTCAGCTCAAGGCAAATGCTCTACCACTTGAGCCACAGCACCATTTCCAGCTTTTTCTGCTTATGTGGTGCTGAGGAATTGAACCTAGGGCCTCATGCATAGAGGCAAGTACTCTACCATTGAGCCACCCTCCCAGCCCTATTGTTCTATTTTTATACATGCTCTCACCCTAGTTAGCCCAACTCCTCCTTAGTACCCCCCCTTTTTTTTTTTTGTCAGTTGTGGTTGAACCCAGGGTCTAGGCACTGTCCCTGAGTTTTGTTTTGTTTTGTTTGCTCAAGGTTGGTGTTCTACCTTTTTGGGCCACAGCACCACTTCCAGTTTTCTGCTTGTTAATTGAAGATAAGAGTGTCATGGGCAAAGCACCAGTGGCTCATGCCTGTAATCCTAGTTACTCGGGAGGCTGAGATCTGAGGATCGCAGTTTAAAGCCAGCCTAGGCAGGAAAGTCTGAGACTTATCTCCAATAAACCATTCAGAAAACCAGAAGTGGTGCTGTGGCTCAAGTGGTAGAGCACTAGCTTTGAGTTGAAGAGCTGAGGGATAGTGCCCAGGCCCAGAGTTCAAGTCCCACCACTGACCACAAAAAAGAGTCTGTAGGCTGGCTTTGAACTGTGATCTAGATTTCAGCTTCCTGAGTAGCTAGCATTATAGGTGTGAATCATCTGTGCCTGGCTCCTCCTCTCTGTTTTGTTTTTAAATATTTTTTATTGTAAAGATACTGTACAGAGAGGTGACAGTTATGTGAGCAACATAATGAGTCCATTTCCTATCAAGCATTGTTATCCCCTCCTTTGTTTTTCCCCTACCATCCCTTTCCTCCCCACCTTCCCAACTCCTCTCCACCCCCTTAATTTTTTAGAGATAGTTGTGTGGCTGGTAGCTCATGCCTGTAATCCTAGATACATAGTCAGAAGGCTGAGGTCACAAGATTATGGTTTGAAGCTAGCCAGGCAGAAATGTTCCAGAGACTCTATTTCCAGTTAACCATCAAAATGCTGAACTGTAGGCATGGTTCAAGTGTTAGAGGGTAGAGCACCAGCCATGAACAAGCAACCTGAATAAGAGTTTGAAGCACTGAGTTCAAGCCCTGAAACTGGAAGGGAATAAAGGTGGGGGAGAGTCCTCCTTACTTCCCAGAGTGTAGTAATCATTTGAGAAAACCACCAAGGTCAGAGGAAAAGAGCTGCTCTCTGTAGTGTATGTTTCTTCTTAGTGAGGGAATGTGAGGCTTAAAGCAAAGACAGTGCTGTGAGCCTAGTTGTTCACTAATACAGTGTTGATTTCTGAGTTCCTGGATGCTGCTTTCTGTTTTTCCAGGACGGGGTGAAGTGGGAGAGGTGTTTATGAAAGAGGGATAATGTTCGTTTATTGAACAGACTAGGTGTGCTGTGCTTTGATGATATGCATCTTCTCAGTTCTAGGGCATGATGGGGGTTCTATCTTGTTTGTGTCATTATTGAGTCTATCAGATGCCAGGTACTGACTAGACAACAGGAAACCAAAATTTCAGCAGCTTAATTGCCTAGAAGGCCTAGCCTATCCTCAATGAGGGAGGGAGTCTCAGTAGTGCTCATTGAAGTCATAACAGGGGAAGAATGACTAGATGAAGGAGGGAACTTGTAGCTACCCTGGAGAGAAGAGGTCAAGGAAGATTTTGTTGAATCATCCACTGTGAGCTGCTTTTGCAGAGTGAATGGGAATTTACAAACAGGATGGATTGGGGTTCAGAGCTGAGGGGTAGGTCCAGTGTGAAGAGACTGGGGCCTTCAAGGTTGGGAGTCTGTGGTTGGCCCTGTTTGTTGGCTGTTTTCTGTTTTTTCATGGAAATCTAACCCCCCACGAGATTCTCTGCTGGGATCACTCATGAAAATGACATTTGACTCAAGAAAAGTCTCTGCTTGTTTACATTTGCCAGAGATAATACTGGGGAAAGACTGATTTTTAGGAGTGGGGTGTCCTGAGGGCTACAAGTGGAGTGTGGGGAGGAAGGAATGACTTTACTTGTGTCCCAGGACATGAGCTGACGGTGGAGGAGGAGGGGTGGCATGAGGGGAGACTGAAGAAAGAGGGAGGAGAAGGAAACCAGATCCAAGCTGTTCCTGAACATTTAAACATTGTCTCAACCATACTAAGTTGAAAATGCAGGCCATGAGGGCATTCTGAGAAAAAACATAACTAGAGTTACACTAGTTGACAGCTGAGATTTTTAAAGAGAGAGGAGAATTTGGTGAGGTTGTTTTGTTTCTGATAATTTCTGAAGTAATACTTGTGTGCTTCCTGATTAAAGAAAACCTTTAGTTTAAATTGTGCTTTATTAAGGCATAGTTTTTAAAAATCACCTTTGGTATGATGTTTTAGAATCTTCGGTCATTCTGAGTTTGTTGTTGTTGTTTTGGTTGGTCATAGTGTTTGAATTCAGGGCCTGGCCACTATCCCTGAGCTTTGTTGCTCAAGGCTAGTGCTCTACTTTTGAGCCACAGCACCACTTCCAGTAAGAATCTCAGGTACAGGGCTGGGAAGGTGGCTCAGTGGTAGAGCGCTTGCCTTGCATGCCTGAGGCCCTGATTCCTCAGCACCACACACACAGAAAAAGCTGGAAGTGGGTGCTATGGCTCAAGTGGTAGAGTGCTAGCCTTGAGCTGAAGAGCTCATAGTGCCTAGGCCCAGAGTTCAAGCTCCACAACCAGAAAATAAAAAAGAAAAAAATGAATCTCAGGTACTTTACTGCCTGGGCTGACTTTGAACCATGACCCCCAGATTTCATCCTTCTGAGTAGCTAGGATTATAGGCATAAGCCACCAGCACCTGGCTGAGATTTTTTTTGGGGGGTCCGGTCATGGGGCCTGAACTCTGGGCCTGGGCACTGTCCCTCAGCTCTTCAGTTCAAATCTAGCGCTCTACCACTTGAGCCACAGCGCCACTTTTTTCTTTTTTTTGCTTATGTGGTGCTGAGGAATCGAACCCAGGGCCTCATGCATGCAAGGCAAGCAGTCTACCACTGAGCCACCTTCCCAGCTGGAGATTTTTTTTTTAAATCAGACATTTTTTTACTTTCTCATCCATTATTTTGTGATTCGGGTCATTTGATTTACTGCTACATATTTATTTCCTCAGCTAGCTTTTTTAAAATGAATTGGATTTTTAGTATTTTTGTTAGCAATTCTGGAACTTTTTATGCATTGTGATTAGCCATTTGTTTGTAATAAGAGCTTTAACTATTTTCACGTTTGTCTTCTCCTCGCGCCCCCCCCCCCCAGAACTGGGGATTGGATTCAGTATTTAACCAACTTCTTGCTGTTTTGTTTAAAAAAAAAAAAAAAGCTACTCTGGAAGCTACGTTCTAAGGCTCACACTTCTAAACTATCCCAGGGAAGAAAGTATGAGATTCCAATTAACCACCAAAAAGCCAGAAATGGAGCTGTGGCTCAAGTAGTAGCACAATAGCCTCAAGCACAAAAACTGAGGGACACCACCTAGGCCCTAAATTCACGCCCCAGCCCAGCACACATATACTCGATTGTTACATTTATATACTTGAATATATCAATGTATTTTGTGATGCTGTTTTTTAGAGATTTATTTTGGTGGTACTGGCTTGTGAAATCAGGGCTAGGCAAGTGCCCTCCTATCAAGCCATACTTCTATTCCTTTTTTGTGCTGGTTATTTTGAGATAGGGTCTCCTTCTCAGCCAGGGTATGTATCTAGACTGTGAGCTGACCGTTTTAAGGTTTCTCTCATACCTGGGCTGACAGGCATGCACCTGTGTCCAGTTTTCGTCTGTTGATTGAGATGAAGTCTTGTGGACTTTTTTGCTTATGTTAATTCTGGAGCCTCAGTCCTCACAATCTAATCTTCTCACATTGCTTAGGATGACAGGTATGCTACCATGCCCAGCTGCTGGTTAAAAAGGGATCTTAAAAGTTTTCTGCCTGGGCTGGCTTTGAACTGTGATCTTCCTATTCTCAACCTGAAACTGTAATTTTCCATTCTCAGCCCAAGTACCTATACGATTTACAGGTGTGAGCCACAAGAAGCTGGTGTGATACTGGTTTTTGAGTTATAAAGGACTTCTTTGTTCCAAGGTTATAAAAGGAAATAACCTAGGTTTTCTATAATTTTTTTTTCTGAACTCTGGGCCTGGGCGCTGTCCCTCAGTTCTTCAGCTCAAGGCTAGCGCTCTACCACTTGAGCCACAGCGCCACTTCCGGCTCTTTTTATTCTGCTTATGTGGAGCTGAGGAATCGAACCCAGGGCCTCATGCATGCAAGGCAAGCGCTCTACCACTGAGCCACCTTCCAGAAATAACCTAGGTTTTCTATAATTTTTATGGTTTTGTGATTTATATCTAAACAGTTGATCTGTTAGGAATTTTGACAGTATGTAATTTATGGTAGGAATCCAGTTTTTTCTAAGTGAGTGTTTCACTGCCCAAACATCATTTACTATGTCGTCTTTCCCCGGCTTGACTTTGAAGCACTTTGTTCACCATTTGTCATTGTTTCAAGGAATTGTATGTGATTTGGGGATATCAGTTTGTCCTAATAATCTATTTACCCACTAGTTAGATGTGGTTTTCAGGCTGTATAACATTTGGCCATGATTTTTTAAAAATAAAATTACTTCCTTTAAAATTTTTATGACTTGATTTTCCCTTATTTTTCACATAACTTAAGAATCAATCGGACATTTGGGAAGGGTGATGGTAGAGGGAACATGTGAAGATTATAGAGTAATCTCTTTATGTTCAGGGATCTAAACTGTCATTTTAATTTTTTCTTTCACAGATGATATTAACCGTGTTCTTGAGCAACAATGAGCAGATATTAACAGAAGTTCCTATAACACCAGAAACAACCTGTCGAGATGTGGTAGAGTTTTGTAAGGAACCTGGAGAAGGCAGTTGTCATTTAGCTGAAGTATGGAGGGGAAATGGTATGTATTAAGTTCTGTAAAGATGAGTAAGTACAAAAATTCAGCACTTATCAAATGAAAACAATGCTTTCTGGTTCTTAATTCTTTTGGTAATGAGGAATTGAGTAATTAAAATGAAAATTTCTATTACATAAGGATAGGATTTTACAAAGTAGCATTTGTAAAATGAAATATGTGATTTCACTCCAACTATAGCCATGTAAGATAAGCAGGGTGGCCGGGCGCTGGTGGCTCACGCCTGTAATCCTAGCTACTCAGGAGGCTGAGATCTGAGGATCGAGGTTCAAAGCCAGCCCGGGCAGGAGAGACCGTGAGACTCCTATCTCCAATAAACCACCAGAAAACCGGAAGTGGCGCTGTAGCTCAAGTGGTAGAGCGCTTGCCTTGAGCTGAAGAGCTGAGGGACAGCGCCTAGGCCCAGAGTTCAAGCCCCATGACCGACAAAAAAAAAAAAAAAAGATAAGCAGGGTGACCAGGCGCCAGTGGCTCATCATGTCTGTAATCCTCACTACTCAGGAGGCTGAGATCTGAGGATTGAGGTTCAAAGCCAGCCAGGGCAGGAAAGTCCAGGAGACTTTTATCTCCAATAAACCACCAGAAAACCGGAAGTGGCTCTGTAGCTCAAGCAGTAGAGCACTTGCCTTGAGCTGAGGGACAGTGCCCAGGCCCAGAGTGCAAGCCCCACAACCGACCAAAAAAAAAAGAAAAGAGATAAGCAGGAGAAGCAGATTCAATTATTTTTCCTATGTATAGGTGCCAGTCCTGGGGCTTGAACTGAGGGCCTGGGTGCTGTCCCTGAGCTTTTGTGCTCAAGGTATCTCTACCACGTGAACGATAGCTTTACTTCTGAGCTTTTGGTTTAGAGATTAGTCTCATGGACTTTCTTTCCTTGGGATAGCTTTGAACTGTGATCCTTAGAACTTAGCTTCCTAAATAGCTAGGATTACAGGTATGAGCCACCAGCATCCAATTCTTGTCACCGCTTAATATATGAAAGCTCCGAGTCTGAGCCCTTTGTGTGTTTTACCTAACTTGTGTTGAGTTGACCAGCAACTTTTTTTTTAATTGCTTTAGATTGTTTTGGTTTTTCAATGCTAAGGATAGAACCCAGGGCCTCATCCATGCTAGATGCACACCCTTATCACTGAGTTACATACCAGCCCCTGTTCAGCAACAATGTTTTCCTCTTCTGACATCATGAAGGCAGAAATGTTATGTTCCCCCTTATGCAAAACCCCATAAAATAGCAAGTCTCCCATTAGAAATATTATACTGAGAAGTATAAAATCTTGGCTCATAATGCTTTTTTCAGCCTGCAAGGCAGAGGACATTATTGGAGGTAAGATAATTACCAAGTACAGTAAATTGCAAAAATTATACTCTAAAGAATGGGTTGGCCGGGCACTGGTGGCTCACGCCTGTAATCCTAGCTACTGAGGAGGCTGAGATCTGAGTATCATGGTTCAAAGCCAGCCCAGGCAGAAAAGTCCATCAGACTCTTATCTCCAATAAACTACTCAAAACTGGAAGTGGCGCTGTAGCTCAAGTGGTAGAGCGCTTGCCTTGAGTTGAAGAGCTGAGGGACAGCCCCCAGGCCCAGAGTTCAAGCCCCACGACCAAAAAAAAAAAAAAAAAAGAATGGGTTGAATTTAGATAGGATAGGGTTTTCCAAGTAAGAGAGGTTATGAGAATGAAGGAAAAGGAGGGAAAATCAAACCCAATGTGCTGGTAAGACAGCTACAGGCATGGGGTGGACAGGAGGCAGGCAGCAGCGCCGAGACTAGTCGAGCTCATGCTGGGCTTTCAGCACCAGAGATGTAGGCTTTGGTTGGCATGTAAAAGGAAGTGTGTATAGATTTTAAATTGTGCTTAGAGAAAATACACATGGTAGTAGCCAGGCTTTTATGGATCTCTATTGGATAGTAAGAAAATAAATCAATTGAAACATGTTGAGTTTGAGGTGATAATTAAATAGGTATCCAAATGGGAACTGTTTTGTTTTTGCTGTTAATAGACTTTGAAATCAGGGCATTAGGCTTGTGAGACAGGTGCTCTGCCACTTAAGCCACATCCCTAGGCTCCCAATGGAAAGGCTTAAAATGCTCTTAGTTTTTAAAAAGTCATTCCTGTCTTCTTCCAAATAAACAATCCACAAACCACACAATGCATTGACTTAAAAGTATACAATTTAGTGGCCTTAGTATAATCAGAATTGTACAGCCACCATCACAGCCAATTCTAGATCGTTTTCCTGAATGCCATCCCTATTTGAGACTCCCTTCCCCTCAGCTGTTTGATCCATAGGTAACCATTAATCAGCCTCTGTCTCTGTGGATTTAACTGTTCTATATATTTCATATAAATGGACTCATATAGTAGTATGTAGTCCCTTTTATGTTGTTGTTGTTGTTGGATGTGGTGCTTGAACTCAGGGTCTGGGTGATGTCCCTGAGCCTTTTATGTTCAAGGCTAGCACTCTACCAGTTGAGACATAGAGCCCCTTTTGTTTTTTGAGTGGTTAATTGGAGATAAGAGTCTCATAGGGACTTTTCTGCCTGGGATGGCTTAGAACCACATTCCTCAAATTTCAGCCTACTGTACTAGGATTACAGGGGTAAGCCACTGTTACCTGGCCATAGTCCTTATTTTGACTGGCTTCTTTTAGTTTGTTGCTGGATAATATTTCCTTATATAGATGTACTATATTTTATTTATCCATCAGTTGATGGAGTTGTTTTCATGTTTGGTTACTAGGACTGCTGCTGCTGTGAACTTTTATGTACACATTTTTTTTCCCCCAGTCCTGAGTTTGAACTCAGTGCCTGGACACTGTGCTCAAGGCTAGCACTCTACCACTTAAGCCACAGTGCCACTTTTGGTTTTTCTGTGTATGTGGTTACTGAGGAATCGAACGCGGGGCTTCATGCAGGCTAGGCAAGCACTCTACCATAAACCACGTTCCCAGCCCTAGGTACACATTTTTATGGGGACTATATATTTTCATATCTCTTACATATATTCTTTGGAGTAAGTAGAATTGCTAGGTTGTATACTAATTCTTTGACCTTTTGAAGGACTGTCAGGTTGTTTTCTAAAGCAGGTCTACCAGTTTTCATTCCCAGCAGCAGGATAAGGGTTCCCATTTCTCTTGCCAACAGTTGATAATGTCTTTTAGATTTTAGCCGTCCTACTGTACATGAAGTAGTATCTCATTGTGGATTTGGTTTGTGTTTCCCTAATAAGTAATGATGTAGAACATCTTTACATATGTATATCTTCTTTGAATAAATATCTGTTCAGGTCCTTTGTCCATTTTTTTAGTTAGATTGATTATATTTTTGTTGTTGAGTTGTAAGAGTTTTTCATATATTCTAGATACCAGTCCCTTAATAAGCTATGACTTACAATTATTTCAGAGTCATATATTTGTTATCCTTGGAAGTCAGAGTAAAGACACTAAAGACACATTGACTAAAACCTGACTGACAGGCATCAGGTTCTTACTGAATTCTCAAGAATACAGGTCATCAGTTACTAGCCTTATGACAGCTATAGGAAAACAGGAAAGTTAGTAATTAACTAATGTTATTAATGTTTCCTGGGGGAACCAATGTTAGAAGCTGGTTGAAATTCTACTTTTGTCCCTTAAACTCCTAGCACTTTTGCTGTTTTTACTTGTCTCTGTGCTAGTCCTGGTGCTTGAACTCAGAGTCTGCGTACTGTTGCTAAGCATTTTTACTCAAGGCTAAGCATTTTTACTCACTTCTGGCATTTTGCTGGTTAGAGATAAGAATCTCATGGACTTTCCTTCCCTGACTGACTTTGACCTCAGTTCTCAGATTTCAGCCTCCTGAGTAGCTAGGATGACAGATGTGAGTCACCAGTGCCTGGCCACCCTTTCTTACATCATGGTAACAGGTTGTTCCTTGCCCTGTTTGCCAGTACTGCCATGGTATTTACCAAAGAGTATAGCAGCTTTCATCTCTCTTGTTGGACTAACATTCCTAAGGGTAGGAACCTGTCTGTTTGTTATCTGTCATATCTCCAGTGTCCAGCATAGTGCTCTCTCTCTCTTTTTTTTTTTTGGTTGGTCGTGGGGCCTGAACTCTGGGCTTGGGCACTGTCCCTGAGCTCTGCAGCTCAAGGGTAGTGCTTTACCACTTGAGCCACAGCGCCACTTCCGGCTTTCTCTGCTTATGTGGTGCTGAGGAATCGAACCCAGGGCCTCATGCATGCAAGGCACCACTGAGCCACCTTCCCAGCCCCAGCATAGTGCTCTTAATAGACTTTTAGTAAATATTTAAGGCAGTGATTCAGATGAGGAATTAAAGAGGTTTTCTAGTAGGTACAATTCAAAGGGAAGAGGAAGATTTTGTAACAACCCTTCTCAGTCTTTTTACCCTGGAAACCTTCCAAGTGGTTTTAGGTCTTACAGAGTGTTTCCATAAAAACTACTGCATCTGGGGGCAGGGAAGGTGGCTCAGTGGTAGAGCACTTGCCTTGCATGCAAGAGACCCTGGGTTCGATTCCTCAGCACCACATAAGCAAAAAGAAAAAACCCAGAAGTGGCGCTGTGGCTCTAATGGTAGAGCGCTAGCCTTGAGCTGAAGAACTGAGGGACAGTGCCCAGGCCCAGAGTTCAGGCCCCACAACCGGACCCAAAAAAAAAAAAAAAACAAACTACTGCATCTGTAGCTCATGGTATGTTAGTATATGCAATAGAAATTAAAATCCAGTGTTGATCAATACTTCTGAGTAAAGAATATTTCTTAGTTGGGCACTGGTGGCTCATGCCTATAATCCTAGCTACTCAGGAGGCTGAGATCTGAGGATCACAGTTCAAAGCCAGCCCAGTCAGAAAAGTCCATGAGATTCTTACTTCCAATTTAGCATCAGAAAACTGGAAATGGTGCTGAGCCTTAAAGTGATAGAGCACTTGCCTTGAGCTTAGGGACAGCACCCAGGCCCAGAGTTCAAGCCCCATAACTAACAACAACAGCAAAGGAATATTTCTTTGTGGATCTATGTATTAGTTTGCCAAATTTTCCATAACAGAGTAACCTAGAGTGAGTAGCTTAACCAACGAAATTTTTTCTGCATAAGTCTAGAAACTACAACTCTGCAGTCCAGATGCTAGCTCCTTTGGTTTCTCCTGGGGTTCTGTCCTGGGCTTATAGCTGCTGTTATCTCCCAGTGTCCTCGCCTTTCTCTTCATCTTGCAAGGACACCAATTATAGCGATGAGGATCTCATTTAAATGTGTTACCTCTTTTTTTTGGGGGGGGGGTCTGGTCATGGGGCCTGAACTCTGGGCCTGGGGGCTGTCCCTCAGCTCTTCAGCTCAAGGCTAGCGCTCTACCACTTGAGCCACAGGGCCACTTGCGGCTTTTTTCTTTTTGCTTATGTGGTGCAACCCAGGGCCTCATGCATGCAAGGCAAGCACTCTACCACTGAGCCACCTTCCCAGACCCATTTGTGACATTTTAATGAATGATGGTATGGCCAATTTGTTTCATTTCTTTAAAGAATGGGAAATATGGGCTGGGAAGGTGGCTCAGTGGTAGAGCACGTGCCTTGCATGCATGAGGCCCTGGGTTCGATTCCTTAGCACCACATAAGCAAAAAGAAAAAAGCCAGAAGTGGTGCTGTGGCTCAAGTGGTAGAGCGCTAGCCTTGAACTGAAGAGCTGAGGGACAGCGCCCAGGCCCAGAGTTCAGGCCCCACGACTGGACCCAAAAAAAAAAAAAAAAAAAAAGAATGGGAAATATGCCTCTTTGTGTTAAGTAACTGGCTTCGGGTTTTAATGGGGGGTATGGGGGACAAGCTGGTCCTAGAGTTTAAACTTGGCTTGGCCACTGTCTCCTGAGATTTTTTGTTCAAGGCTAGTGCTCTATCACTTGAGCCACAGCTTTTATTTATTTTATTTTTTATTTTATCTTTTGGTATTTAATTGGAGGCAAGATTCACATAGACTTTCCTACCTGGGCTGGCTTCAAACCCTGATCCTCAAATCTTAGCTTCTGGAGTAGCTAAGATTACAGGTCTGAGCCATGGATGTGAGGTGTATGATAAGTATCTTTAAATGCATGGCTTTATTGCTCCTAATTAATGCTACCAAATTACTTGTGTTTTTGTTTTCTTGAAGCAGGGTTTTATATATATAGTATATAACTATATAATATATATGATATATATATCATATATATTACATATAACTATATAATATACATATATTGTATATAACTATATAATATATATGATATATATATCATATATATTACATATAACTATATAATATATATGATATATATATCATATATATCTCCCAGGCTAGCCTATAACTCCCAATCCTCCTGCCTCAGCACCACATTGGACACAAAATTACTTTTATTTATACTTCTTTTATTTATGTGTTTTCTAATTATTTCCATTCATATTCCTACTTTGTACATTAAAGTTAAAATTCAGTGCTTGGAGTGTCCTTGAATTCTAATATTACATACATGTGTGTGCATATGTACATTTATTCAAGTTTATTTTTGTCTTGGGTTAGGTTGTTTGTTTGTTCTGAGCAGTATATGGTCTTTTTCCTAGAGCGCCCAATACCCTTTGACCACATGATGTATGATCACCTGCAGAAGTGGGGGCCCCGCAGGGAAGAAGTGAAATTTTTTCTTCGGCATGAAGACTCCCCAGCTGAGAGCAATGAACAAGGTAGAGAATCTTTCTTCTCCATTTGTTAACCTTTGGCATGCAAGCTAAATTAAGAAAATTTGTAGTAAATGCCAAGGTCATTCACATGTTTCTTCTCTTTATTCCGAGTAGTAGGTCATTGCATGCTTGACTTCTCTTACTGCAGGCTAGGTTGTGTCACAACCTATAGGCATCAGCCTTTATTTCCTTCTCTTGTCCCTGAGTTGGTTAGATACACAAATAAAGGACTTACTTTATAAAAGGATTGGTTGTTTTTGGAAACTACCAGATTTTCAAAGAAATTTAAGTATGAAACTGTTAGAAAAGAAACTGTGGGAAATGTTTTTAAAACTTTTCCAGAGTGGGCCAGGCCTTTCAGAATAATATTAAGCCATAAAATGGAAGACTGATGAATTATTTAAAATGAAACAAAGTCTATGTGAATGAACATAAACATCCTAACCAAAGTCAAAAGGGAGTTCATGCTAGGCACTGGTGACTCACACCTGTAATCCTAGCTACAAAGAAGGCTAAGATCTGTTGATCAATGTTCAGAGGCAGCTGGGGCAGGAAAGTCTGTGAGATTCTTTTCTCTAATTAACCACCAGAAAACCGGAAAGTGGTGCTGTAGCCTTGAGGAAAAGAGCTCAGGGACAGTATGTGGGCCCTAAGATCAAGACCCATGAACAACAACAACAACAAAAGGACAGTTTATGTAATGAGAAATAGTAAGGAAAGCTCATACTGCAGATGGTTGCTTTCTTTTTGTGTAAAATTTCCTAAAAATTGACTATAAAAAGAAGCGTGGTAGGAAAATACAAACACAGTTCACAGAAAAGGAACTACGTTTGGTCCTAGGACATAGGACCTGTAAGGATCAGCCTTACTCCTTCCATGAGAAACGTAGGGACAACTGTGTGGAAACAGTTCCCCCTGTTGTAGAGGCAAGGAGCCACACTCCTTCAAAAGCCAGCAGCGTGCAGAGGACAGCTACTTTTATATCTAGGAAGCAGTAACCTCGAACAATGAAATAACTTCATTGACTGCAAAGAACCTGAACCTGGACCTGGGGATAGGCTTACAAGAGGGGTCACATAGGTTCATTCTGAACCTGCCATTCACTGAGGGTAGGACCTTGGTGAACCTCACTTCCATGTACCTCAATTTCCTCATCTACAAGATGCACAGTTGTGTTGAGGGACAATGAGATACACTTTGAAGGGCTTAGAAAGGCCTTAGAGCATCAAGTGCTCACTTAACGTTATCTTTTTAGTTTGTATTTTCTGACTCTGAAGTGCAAGATCATTAAGTTGCATTTTGTATAATTTTAATGCTCTATTCTAATAGTATTCTAACTTCTTGGTAGTTTGCTTCTTACAAGATATAGTGATTGAACTACTGTTAATCCTACTGCTGAAAAGGTATGAGGCCAATTATGCTATATAGTGAGTTCAAGGCCAGCCTGGATTATATATTGAGACCCTGTTTCAGCAAAACAAAAAAATTAACTGAATACCTTGTTCGTTAAAAAATGCTGAAGAATAAGAATTTAACGTGGCCTGACAACTGTTAGATGTGATAGGTCCATAAATTTTTTTAAAATGCCTCTGTAATAAGACATTTTGGACACTGCATTTTTTTATATCATTCCTTCCCCAACCAAGTACGCCTTATGCATGTTTATGTACTATCTATCTTTGCTTTGTACATAAACCATAAGGGTTTTTATTTAACCTCTTAAGAATCAACTTGTGTCTTTTTGAGGCCCTGTCACCCTTGGTGGGAATGCATGGTTTAAAATGAAGTAGTACATCCATAATACAAGTTTTCTTCAAACTTTTCAAAGTAATAGGAAAAAAATAGAACAAAATGTCTCCTTCTTTCCTCTTTCCCTCCCTGACTGCTTCCTTCCCTCCCTGTCATTGATTAGATCCTTGGTCCTTTAGGTCATGTATTTCATGTGCTGTAAAGCAGGCCTGGGGATGGCTGTCTCCATGGTACCAGCTACAAGCCAGGTGGAAAGAGAAGGAGCAGGCCTGCAGCACCTCTGAGAGCGCTGGCTCTGCAGAGCCACCTGCTGTGAAGCCCTCACCACACTTTACTTTGTCTGAGAATATGACAGGATTATTTCTTAAGGAATATGACAAGATAAACAGAGATTTCCAGATTAAATTAGTGGCTTTTTTAAAGAAAAGATTTTTTTGTGTGTGGCGGGCTTGAACTCTGGGCCTGTGCCCTGTCCCTCAGCTCTTTAGCTCAAGTGCTCTTGAGCTAAAGTGCCACTTCTGATGGTTTTCTGGTGGTTAATTGTAGATAAGAGTCTCATGGACTTTTCTGCCCAGGCTGGCTTTGAACCTCATTCCTCAGATCTCAGTCTCCTCTGTAGCTAGGATTACAGGCATGAGCCACCGGCACCCTGCTACAAAAAGTTATTGTTATTTTTTTTTTTTTTGGTCCGGTCGTGGGGCCTGAACTCTAGGCCTGGGCACTGTCCCTCAGCTCTTCAGTTCAAGGCTAGCACTCTACCACTTGAGCCACAACGCCACTTCTGGGTTTTTTCTTTTTGCTTATGTGGTGCTGAGGGATCGAACCCAGGGCCTCAGCTCAGGCATGCAAGGCAAGCGCTCTACCACTGAGCCACCTTCCCAGCCCCAAAAAGTTATTTTTAACTATGTTAAATATATAGGACATAAAATTTACTATCACTGCCATTTTAAAGTCAATTTCAAGAGATAGACTATAAAAAGAAAAGATTTCAAAATTTTGGAAAATGCGAAACATTTTCCAGCTGTTCTCAGTTTTTAATTTCTCAGCCTGCTATTGTGTGTGCTAATATTTGAATGAATGAAGAAATGGAGACTTAGTAAGCTTAGTCCTTTCATCTCTTTAGGTAGTCGTCAGACCCAAGAACAGAGAGCTCAAAGAAGTGTAATGAGTGTACCCGGAGAAAAACGCACTGAAAATGGGGTAAGTGATGGTAAATGAACTAAAATGAATTTTAATTGCCTTTGAGGATCTAACAAGTTTGGACTGTGACTTATTTGTAAAAGGTTATTTGGAGGGATTTAATATCCTTATGTAAAATGCTTGACTTAGAAGTATTTCAGTTTTCAGAATGTTTCAGATATTGGAATGTTTGCTTGGACTTTACTGGTCAGCATCCTAATCCAAAAATCAAATTGATGCTTGAAAAGTTTTGATTTGGGGGTTAGGAAGGCTTGCCACAAATGTAAATCTGTCTCTTTCTCTCTCCATCTCCAGCTCTCTGTCTCTCCCCCTCCCCTAACCCCTTTCTCTCCCCACTCTTTTTTTTACCTGGCCCTCTAGTGGAATTTTGAGTGCTAAGATTTATAGTGACCTGTATTTGAAGGCTGATGACATAAATGTATTAAATAGGCAGTGTGTTGAAGTGAGGTGTGAAGTGTATGAGGCCTCCCGTCCCCCCCTCAGTCTTGAACCCAGGGCCTAGGTGCTGACCCTGAGCTCCCCCCTCCCCTGCCCCGCCCCGGCCCAAGGCTATTGAGGGACAGTGCCACTTCTGGCTTTTTTGGTGGTTAATTGGTGACAAGAGTCTCATGAACTTTCCTGCAGGGCTGGCTTCAAACTGTGATCCTCAAATCTCCTGAGTATCTGGGATTACAGGCTTGAGCCACTGGCACCCTGCAGTGTGTGTGTATCTATGCTATAGAGGGGACTCAGAAGGAATGGATTCCGATGATATCGTAAAGGGAGATGGCTAGTTTGGATGTGACAGGTCTGTAATTTTTGTTTCCATGATAAAGTTATGTTAGCAGGGAGATACTGTGTTATTTTAAGAGCAACAAAACTAAAACCTGAATCAAACATTTAAAATGCATTTGTGCTCTTTATGTGAGCTTATAATTAAAGGAAGATATGAGACCTAACCTAAAGGAATAAGTTTGTGCCAGCTATAAGTAATACATCAAAGACGCTGCTGTATTTTATAGCTTACGGACTGCCTTTTAAGCCTAGTAATGCATTATTTGTAGGGTACTTTTATTGTCTACAAAGCACATTTTTATGCACTTTAAAGTAATATGTTAAAAGACATACTTCTCCAAAACCGTTTTTGTGTATATCCTGAATATAGGGTAATAACACGCTAAGCTTCTGCCTGTGGGCTAAGACCACTAACAAGACATCATAGAGAGCTGTGAGGGAGGAAGGGTGTGTGGATTGGAAGAGTAGGGCAGGATGCCAAGATGGTATGATTCATGCCTATTACCAGCGGCTGAGGTAAGAGGATGAGCAAGTTATGCTCTGAAAATTGCAGGTCAAGAAGTCAGGCTAATCTGTGGCAGCTTGATTCTCACTTTGTACATTGCTGTGTTGGAGTTCCCAGGTTCCATGATTTTCTAGGAAGACACACAGATATAATTTAAAACAGAGGGTAATACACAGTCCAGTCAGCAAGGGAAAGGCAAGTTTTACTTAGGTGTTCTGGAAGCATTTTGTCCTGTTTGCTTAGCCAGCCTGCCTAAGTTCAGTTTCTGTTTTATTCCTTATGCCTACTCTGTTGCCAAAATTGGGGGTCCTGCCTCCTGAGTTTTCTATATTTAGGTCTATGATCTATTTTGAGTTCATACCCAATAGGGATTCAGATCCATTCTATTGTTGTTGTTGGAGGTGGTGGTGGTGATGGTGAGGCAGTCCCTGAGCTTTTTTGCTCAAGGCTAGCTAGCACTCTACCACTTTGAAAAACAGCTCCACTTCCTGTTTTCTGGTGGTTAATTGGAGATAAGAGTTTCACAGCCGGGCGCTGGTGGCTCACGCCTGTAATCCTAGCTACTCAGGAGGCTGAGATCTGAGGATCACGGTTCAAAGCCAGCCCGGGCAGGTGAGACTCCTATCTCCAATAAACCACCAGAAAACCAGAAGTGGCGCTGTAGCTCAAGTGGTAGAGCGCTTGTCTTGAGCTGAAGAGCTGAGGGACAGCGCCCAGGCCCAGAGTTCAAGCCCCCGACCGAAAAAAAAAAAAAAAAAAAGAGTCTCACAGACTTTCTTGCCTGGACTGGCTTTGAACCACAGTCCTCAGATCGCAGCCTCCTGAAAGGCTGGGATTAGTGGCACCTGGCTGATAGTAGCTGAACTCAAGGCCTAGTACTATTCCTGAGCTTCTTTTGCTCAAGGCTAGCACTCTACCACTTGAGCCACAGAACCACTTCTGGCTTTTTCTGTGTATGTGGTACTGAGGAATTGAACCCAGGGCTTCATGCATTCTACTCAAGCACTCTAACACTAAGCCACATTCCCAGCCCCTGCAGCTGTTTTTAATATCTACAAAAATCTGGTTCTAGTAGCCTGGATTTCTAATATTTTTTACTTTGGTAGTTTTCCAAGTCATGACTTGGAAATGTGAGATTTACATGGAGAATAAGCCTCCAGCCTTTGGTGAATCTGGTCCTAGTACATTTTCTTGACTTGTCAATATACCATTTTTTAAACAGTATCTTCTTAAAAGGTTACCATTTGTTTGAAAAATTTAGAAGTTGAATATATCCATCCAAAAATATTAGAGCAGTCTCTGGTCTTCATTAGAACTTACCACAAACACAAGGCTACAGTTTACCATCTGCAATAGTCTATGAAACCAAGCTTCCTTACCTTGAGTGTTAAAGAATCACAAATCCAGTGTCTTAAGCACTTAAGTGGACTGTCCATTAATTAAAACCCATCCTGCCAATCCATACATCTCTCCTGAGCCATTACCCCATCTTGATGAAGCTGCAAGGAGCCACCAACTGAAGATACAGGAGATTAAAATTCCAGCAAATCCTGGATCCAAATGCATAAATCCCAAGAAAAGATCACGAAATTCATAAATCAACAAGGACACATCTTCCTCAAAAACCAGTAACACCACAATAAAGGACTCAATTGAGTGAAAAAGAAGAAAGTCCAAACAGTAGCTCAGTAAAACAATGGTAAAAATGGTTAATGAAATAAAGGATACAATAGATGCTTAGAAAACTGGACAAATTCCAAGAGGATTTGAACAAACAGGAGAAATTGAGTAACAAGTAACAAAACTTCTTCTTTTTCTTTTTTTTTTTTTTTCTGTTGGTCATGGGGCCTGAACTCTGGGCCTGAGCACTGTTCCTCAGCTCTTCAGCTCAAGGCTAGCACACTACCACTTGAACCATAACACCACTTCTGGCTTTTTCTGCTTATGTGGTACTGAGGAATCGAACCAGGGCCTCATGCATACAAGGCAAGCACTCTACCACTGAGCCACCTTCCCAGCCCCTGGTCCTGGGGCTTGAACTAAGGGCCTGGGCACTGTCCCTGGGCTGCCTTTGCTCAAAGCTAGCGCTCTACCATTGGAGCCACAGTGCCACTTCCAGCTTTTTCTGAATAGTTTATTGGAGATAAAGAATCCTACAGACTTTCCTGCCTGGGCTGGCTTTGAACAATGATTCTCAGATCTCAGCCTCCTGAGTAGCAAGGCTTACAGGCGTGAGCCACCAGCACCCGGCTGACCTTTCATATCTTAAAAGGATAAAATATATGCATATATTTTTGATGTTGTTAATCTTAAACAGCCATAAAAATGAGATCAAATTTCATTTGTGTCCATGTAGGGTATTTTTTTTTTTTTCGGTCATGGGGCTTCAACTCTGTGCCTGAGTGCTGTCCCTTAGTTCTTCAGCTCAAGGCTAGCACTCTACCACTTGAGCCACAGCACCACTTCCAGTTTTCTAGTGGTTCATTGGAGAGGAGAGTCTCATGGAGTTTCCTACCCAGGCTGGCTTTGAACTGTGATCCTCAGATCTCAGCCTCCTGAGTAGCTAGGATGACAGCCGTGAGCCACCAGCGTCCAGCTCTGTGTGGGGTATTGTGGGATAATATTTTTGGAGGGATTTCTTTGAGGCCTGGAATGGTAGTATACAGAAGTGTTTGCTTCCCATTTGGACTCATTGTGTAGACTGGGGAGGCTTTATGAAATACCTTTTGTTCAGCCTGACAGTCCCCATCGTCCTTGGACCCAGGGTGGCTGAGGGCACAGTTAAACGACTACTTGTATCTGTTCACGAGGGCTTCCCATGTAACAGCTCGAGTGGTACACGTACACAAGAGCATGTGAGCATATCCTCATTGCCACCCTGGGAAAGGTTCTCAATGAAAATAAAACAGGAGCCCAGTCTCTGATGCTCAGAGTTGAGTAGATGAGGGATGTAATCATGTCCTGTGTGGGCATCTTCTCTTGCATTATAACAGGGGAGTCACAGTGGGAAAATATGGAAACTACTGTGAGTTCAGAACCTAGGATTATATCTGGCATCTAGAAGTTAAATGAATTGTCACAGTGTTGTGTTACTGAGTACCACCAAGCGATTATTCCCCTGACACGTTGACGCTTGTGTGTGGAGCACCTTGGTCCTGCCCTCTGTTTTCAGGTTGCCTTGCTCCTCAGCACATCAAAGCATTACTGCTCATGGCCACTGTGGGCAGACAGGACTTAGAGGTCATGGTTAGAGGGATAGGAGCCAGAAACAATTTGTTAGTGAGATGGTAAGGAGATACCTGGGGCAGAGCTGAAATAGCGAGGAGGAGGCATGCTTCACATAGAGAGAAGTCAGGCTCATATGTAGTGGGGCTAGACACAGGAGAAATCACCAAACCTCTCAGGAGGAGATGCTGACTCAAAAACTTAAAATGTGTTTGTGCTTTATATGAGCTTATAATTAGAGGCATCTGACAGTTGCCTGTTGTTGATACATCTCACAGGCACAAAGCCTGGTGTTAGGTAACTAACTGGTAGAGAGTTTTGCTCCAGTAGTACTGATACACGTTAGCGAAGAAAATCATTTTCTTCCTTGTAGGTACCAGTATTGGGTTCAAACTCAGGGTCTGGCACTCTTGCTTAACTTTTTATGTTCAAGAGTGACACTACCACTTGAGTCACACCTCCACTGCCAGCTTTTTGTTGGTTTAATTGGAGGTAAGAGTCTGAGGGATTTGTCTGCCTGGTCTGGCTTCAAAATCCTCAGAGCTGAGACTCCTGAGTAAGAGTGCAGGTATGAGCCACCAGTTCCTGGCTGAGAAGAGAATCTCTTATTTTCCCATTGCCATAGTAGATCTATAGGGGTTGGAGAAGTGGAGTGACCAGAGGAGTGATCACACGGACTAGAGCGAGGCCTTTACCACTCTGCGCAGGCTGGGATTGGGTGATGTCAGTGTCAGGCAGAAGGTAAACCTGGCACTTCGGTAAGGTAACTGTGTGTCTGGAATCCAGAGCTCAGGGATGAAGGCAACTTGGAAGCAGCCCTCACTGGAAGTACCTTTGGAGAGAGGTTCTAGTGCATCTGCAGTCCAGGAGCCATGCTGCAGGAGCTAGATCATATCTGGACTCCACCAAGGACGTGATGCCATGTGATCACAGTTCTTCTCTGGCCAGCTGCGCCAGAGACTGACTCCAGTTAGTCTCGGCAGCAGTATGCATAGACATGATGTTTTCTGCCCACCAGGGACTGACATCTGCCTACTACTGTGCATGTGGAGAGGAATACTTCCTCAGTACACTGTGCACTGAATACCAGATCACCAGGATGCTACTTGTGCAATCTGTGGTCATTCTTATGACACTCTTGCCCCAAAGTGAAGGAGGAATCATAAATACATAACAATTACAAGAAAAAAAGGAAAGAAGAAATACTGTTTGTTGCAGTGATTGCAAAATTGTAATAGGTGGAAATTAGTAATCCTTCATAAGTATTAAGATAGAAACAGTCCTTTGGCCATTTATACTGTACTGCCAGACCTTTTTTCTTTTTCTTTTCTTTTTTTTTTTTTTGTCAGTCCTGGGGCCTGAACTCTGGGCCTGGGCCTGGGCGCCATCCCTCAACTCTTCAGCTCAAGGCTAGCACCCTACTACTTGAGCCACAGTGCCACTTCTGGCTTTTTCTGCTTATGTGGTGCTGAGGAATCGAACCCAAGGCCTCACTTATGCAGGGCAAGCACTCTACCACTGAGGCACTTCCCAGCCCCGGACCTTTTCTGTTTTTGGTAGAAGAAGCCAATTTCTTTCTAGTGGAAGCATCCATAACTAGGAAGCTTAAGAGAGACTGGCTCTACTTAGATACCTTAAAATCTTTAAACAGTGGTTCAAAGTAAGACTGATGAAGGAATGTTGGTTCTCTTTTCCTACAGCTGAGATCATGCTCAAATACCATAAAAGTTGAGTAAGCCATGGAGCTAGAGGAGTAGGGATTGCAACTGACTTAAAAGTGTAAGAATTTTAAGGGTGACAGAAGTGAAGGGGTTCTGAGGGCATATAGAAAACAAAGGAGGAAGAGGTGCAGAGGGACTGGAAGTATCCATGGTTACACCCAAAGGCTTCAAAAGAGCCAAGAGTCATTAGAAGAGAGCTCTGCTGCTTTTATGAGCCACCTCTTGGCATATTCCTTTGCCTCCCCCAGAGGAGCTCACATTCCCAGCATGAAGACTTGAAGAACATGGAGCTTGGTGCTTGAAACCAGCCAGCACACCAGAAGTGTGGCTTGTGCCGGAGAGTGTACAACACATACAGCACACCAGAAGTGTGGCTTGTGCCGGAGAGTGTACAACCTGTACAGTTGACTCTGTATCTGTGTTCTGCCTCACATAAGCTGTTCCATCTGTGAGACAGAGGTGCTGGGCTGGGTGCTGGGTGGCTCATGTCTGTAGTCATAGCTACTCAGGAGACTAAAATTGGGAAGATTGCAGTTCAGAGCCAGCCCAGGCAAAAAAAAAAAAAAAAGTTTTCAAGAATCTATCTTAAAAGCTGGGCACCAGTGGCCTATGCCTGTAATCCTAGCTACTCAGAAGGAGGTTAAGATCTGAGGATCGCAGTTCAAAGCCAACCCCAGGCAGGAAAGTCCATGATACTCTTATCTCCAATAAATTTTATCTCCAATTAACCACTCAGAAAACCAGAAGTGGTGCTGTGGCTCAAGTGGTAGAGCGCTTGCCTTGAGCTGAAGAGCTCAAAAAAAAAACAAAAACAAAAAACATCGTAACTAGTAGCTGGGTATGCCTGTCAGCCCAGCTTGGGTAAACATTTCAAGACGCCATCTCAACAGAAAGTAGTCAGGTTGATGGTGCATGACTTGCTACCTGGTTGTAGTGGGAAGCATAAAATAGAAAGATGTGGTTCAGGCCAATCTGGCAAAAAGCAAGACCCTGTCCCAAAAATAACGAGAGCAAGAGGGCTGGAGGTGTTGCCGAAGCCTAGCAGGCGTGAATCCCTGAGGTCAGACCCCAAACTGCCCTGCAAGAAGAAATGGAGCCAAATGCTGGTGGCTCATGCCTATAATCCTAGCTGCTCAGGAGGCTAAGATCCAAGGATCATGGTTCAGAACTAGCCCAGACAGAAAAGCCCTTGAGACTCTTCTCTTCAGTTAACCACCACAAGTGGAGCTGTGGCTCAAATGATAGAGCACCAACCTTCAGTTAAAAAACCAAGCAAGAACATAAGTCACTAAGTTCAAGCCACCCTCCACCCACATACACATATGAAATTGAGTGTCATAGCACCTGTTTGATGGGCATAAAGCATGTAGTTCAGCCCATGGCCACGGAGGTGGGAGATAGCCAGGTGCACTCCTCTTCACAGTTATTTCACACACATGATTCTTTCAGATAACAGGCCATTTTCCCCCCGTAGGGTGTATTAGATATTTAATGGAGTTGTTGTATTTTAGAATCTGGCAGGGATTTTAGTTTCCCCCAGAACAGTTGGCAGTGGGATACTTGTCTTGGGAATCCCCTCTATGTCCTTGGTTGTGTTTGGTTGTATATCCTTAACTAGTAACATCCCCATTTGCTCAAATACACCTAGCTTCCAGGCAAAAGAATACCAGTTATAATACACATTTTCAATGTTTACATAAATCTGAGCCCCATATTAATTATAATACCTGAAGTTTATAGAGGACCACAGCTCTGAAGGTAGAGCACTTGTCTAGCAAGTACAGGCTCTGAGTTCAAACCTCAGTACTGCCAAAAACAAAGAAAGAAATGAAATAAAAAGGAAAGGGTTATTTAGAAAAAAAGTGAAGCCTGTTTTTGTTTTGTCCCTTTCCCTGCTCACTTTACCTGTGTTGGACTTCCCAGCAGTTAGGATGACAGCACAGGCCACTGCATCCAGCCCTGTGTTGAGATGGTGTTTCACAACCTTTATTTCTGCCTGGGCTGGCCTTGAACCATGATTCCCAACCATCTCAGTTTCCAGAGTTACTAGGATTACAGGTATGAGCCACCAGCACCTGACTGAAACCTGTTACTTACACTTCATAAGTGGTCAACACTTTAAAAATGTTTTATGGGAAAATAACCTAATTTGTGTTCTTCTAAGTTCTAGGGATCCTGTCTGAAATCCAGACATTTGTGAGTGCCAACCTAGAGGAAGATGGCTACCCTGATGAACACAGATACGATGAGTACTTTTGTTCTCTATAGGTTGGGAATCCGCGTGTGGAACTTACCCTCTCAGAGCTCCAAGACATGGCAGCCAGGCAACAGCAACAAATTGAAAATCAGCAGCAAATGTTGGTTGCCAAGGTAAGTCATAATAGCACAGGCAGGTTGCTTCAGTCCTGTGTTTTCCAGCTGTGCTTTGAGATTGCGTGATCTCTCCAGATAGAGCCATGCCAGTGAAGTACTCAGTGCTCATTCCCTCTGTGTCACCCCTCCTGTAGCGTCAGGATGTTAGCCAGGCATCAGAGCAAGAACACACACACACACACACATGGGGGGGAGAGGGGGAGGGGGGGAGAGAAAATATTGGCACTTTCCCAATTGTAAAGAAAATCTCAGAAGATCTTCTGTTACTTCTCTGTTCCCTGGCTGCCTCCTCTGCCGTGTGTTTGGTGTGAGTGTCCTGGAGGAAAGCAGCAGTCCCTGACCCTGGGCAGGGACCCTGGGGATGACAGCTGGCTACCAGGCTTTCGTGCGTCCTACTGTGCTAAACACGTTAGCGTGATTACAGTGCAAGCAGTCAGCACTCATCCTACACACCGTGCACACTTGTAGTTGAAACTGTAAAGTAGGATTTGGAATTTTTCCAAATTATGGTTTAGGCATACTTGATAGACTAAAAAAAATCAGACCTATTAACCCATGCCTGCTGAAAACGATTCATGTTGTGAATGATCCTAAAATGTTCAAAACCAGCTTGGAAGAGAACTGCTAATCATTTCCAACCTAATTCTTACTGCTCTCTTCTGCAGAGAGATTTCCTTTTGGACCAAATTGCTAATCCAGTTTTCTCATTTATCGAATGACTGTGTAGTTCATTGTATTAGCTGCTTTTATGAAATATTTTAGTTGACTTATTTATAAAAGTCTCATAAAGTTTATTGGACATAACATTTTTTAATTCTTAAGATTAGTAAATATTAATATACTCTTAAGATGAAATATACACAGTATATGTAATAAAGATTTCTGCCAGGCTCACGTCTATAATCCCAGCTACTCAGGAAACAGATCTGAGAATCATAGTTCAAAGCCAGCCTAGGCAGGAAACCAAAAGTGGAGCAATGACTCAAAGTGGTAGTAGAGTGTTAGCCTTGAGCAAAAAAACTCCGTGACAGCGCCCAGGCCCTGAGTTTTAAGCCCCATGACCAACTAAAAGAAAATTTTCTGGGGCTAGGAATGTGGCTTAGTGGTAAAGTACTTGCCTAGCATGCATGAAGCCCTGGATTTGTTCCTCAGTACCATATAAAAAGAAAAAGCCAGAAGTGGAGCTGTGGCTCAGAGTAGTGGAGCACTATGAGAAAAAGAAGCTCAGGGACAGTGCCTAGGCCCTGAGTTCAAGCTCCAGGACTGGGAAAAAATTCTAATTCTGTTTGTTTTCTTTTCAAATATTGGTCCAAAAATATTACTGCTAAAAAACATCTTCACAGATAGCTGGGAGCCAATGGCTCATGCTTGTAATCCTAGCTACTCAGGAGGCTGAGATCTAAGGATTGCAGTGCAAAGTCAGCCCGGGTAGGAAAGTCTTTGAGACTCTTATCTCCAATTAAGCACCAGAAAACCAGAAGTGGTGCTGTGGCTCAAAGGTTAGAGCACTTGCCTTGAGCTTAAGACCTCAGGGACAGCACCCAGGCCAAGAGTTCAAGCCCCATAACCAACCAAAAAAAACCCAAAAAGCAAAAAAAACTTTATAGATATTTTCAGTAATGTGAATTTTTTTAATGTTAAGCCTGAAGTGTTTGAGCACACCCTTGCCCTTAAAGTATCATGTGTGATATTGACTTCATCATACATGAGTTTCCTGAGTAGTTTTTGTTTTTGTTTTGTTTTTTTGGTTGGTCATGGGGCTTGAACTCTGGGCCTGGATGCTGTCCCTGAGCTCCTTTTGCTCAAGGCTAGCACATTACTGCCTGAGCCACAGCACCACTTCTGGTTTTCTGATGGTTAATTAGAGTCTCATGGACTTTCCTGCCCAGGATGGCTTTGAACCACGATCCTTAGATCTGTCTCCTGAGTAGCTAGGATTACAGCACCCAGCACCCAGCTGGGTAGGTATATTTTATGAATCCATATGGAACCATATTTAATGTTGACTGTTATCTTCCAGGTATGTTTTATATTAATAATAGAAGCAGGATTTCGCGTTTTTATTTTAAGATTTTGTGTTCTAAAATGTTTCGTTTTTGAAAAAATAGTCTTAAAGGGAACAAACTATCTGATTTCTCATGTCAGTTAAAAATGGACATTTAAATCTTTCACACTTTTTCCTTGTGTATAATATTCTGTTGGTGCTCATTTAGGAAGTTGAATAAGAAACCTTATTAACTGAAGTTAGCTTAGAGACACAAAGGATTCCTGTTTTATCTCATATGGAGAGGACACAGCTATATTATAAATATATATATGCAAATTTACAAAGTCCTATGCATTTGTGCACAAACATATTAACTATGGCATATGGCGTGGAAGATTCCAATGGTGTAACTCCTTTGAGTTCAGTGAACACCAGGAAGCAGGAACTTGTGCTGTCGGGAGGGGTGAGGTCAAGGGGAGGAGGGTGGGAAGAATAGTCATAATATTCAATTGATGTATGTGAAATGGAACCAGGGAACTTGAGGGGGTGCGGGGGTTGGAGAGACGGAGGAGAATTACGAAAAGGATGACATTGATCAAGATGCATTGTACTCATTAACAAATAGAAAGAAACCCCTTTGTACAGCTACTTAAAGATATTTTTCTTTAAGAAAGAAATCTTGGAAGTGCTTTTTAGTGGGAGGAAGTGTGTTCTAACAGCAGGAAACAGAGCTGGCTGCACTTGGCAGCTGTGCTAAGTGCAGAGATCGTAGCTGTGGAGGTTCCCACGGTGAGCTGTGCAGAGCAGATGAGTGTGGCGGTGAGGGCACTTCAAGGATCCCCAGACTTGCCATGCCACACGCATGTGTATGCCTTGTGTGGACCGATAGGTGCAAGGTTGTTCTAGTGTTATTCAAGATCGGTAATAGTGTGCATACACATCTCTGTTCTGAAGTACAAAGGTAGTTGTAAATTTCAGTTTGAAAAGTTTTTCCCTCTTTGTCAGGAACAGCGTTTGCATTTTCTAAAGCAACAGGAGCGACGCCAACAACAAACTATTTCTGAAAATGAGAAGCTTCAGAAATTGAAAGAGCGAGTTGAAGCACAGGAGAACAAGCTGAAGAAAATTCGTGCCATGAGAGGACAAGTGGACTACAGCAAAATCATGAATGGCAATCTGTGTACGTGTTGCAGCCGCTGCGGCCGTGGTCCACCCTGTTTGACTGCCTGTGTGCTACTGTGTGCCGCCCCCAGATGCTTTAGACAGCCGGCTACCTGGCAGTTTGTTACAAAGTCACATGGAATTTTGCAACAAAGTGCACTAAAACTTCATTGCATCTAAGAGGACAGAGTTGGTTATAATGGCAGTGACTTTTTTTAAAAAAACTGTACATCCCACCAACCCCTGGGAGGAAAAAAAAAACTTACGTAAAGCCAGTGAAGCCCTCAATTAGATTTTGTTCCAGTTAACATCAATTTCCTGATTTTTTTATATAATTTTAATTGTATATATTTACAGGGTACAGTGTGATAATTTGATGCATATTATAACATGCATTGATCAAATCAGGGTAGTGTTTCTGCCACCTTAAACATTTAAAAATTTTTTTTTACCAGTCCTGGGGCTTGAACTCAGGGCCTGGGTACTGTCCCTGAGCTTCTTTTGCTCAAGGCTAGCATTCATACACCACTTGAGCCACTTGCAGCTTTTTCTTTTTTTTGTCGGTCATGGGGCTTGAACTCTGGGCTTGGGCGCTGTCCCTGCGCTCTTCAGCTCAAGGTGAGCGCTCTATCACTTGAGCCACAGCGCCACTTCTGGTTTTCTAATGGTTTATTGGAGATAAGAGTCTCTCGGACTTTCCTGCCCGGGCTGGCTTTGAACCAAGATCCTCAGATCTCAGCCTCCTGAGTAGCTAGGATTACAGGCGTGAGTCACCGGTGCCCGGCTCCACTTGCAGCTTTTTCTATGTATGTGGTAATGAGGAATCCAACCCAGGGCCTCATGCATGCAAGGCAAGTGCTCTACCACTGAGCCACCTTCCCAGCCCACTTGCGGCTTTTTCTATGTATACGGTACTGAGGAATTGAACCCAAGGCATCATGCATATGCTAGGCAAGCACTCTACCACTAAGCCATAGTCTCAGCCCCGACATTTTGGAATATTTTGATGAACACATCCTAAGTGTGTATATTCATAGGGGCACATAATGCAGTTTCAGTACCACTCGAGACGGAGTGGGGGGAGCCTGAGCCTTCTGACCCTTTTTGCTGCTTGGGCTGCTAAGGCTTCCCTCATCGACAGTCTCTGTTGTCACTGAGTAGCTTGGGTTTTACCTATGCATTAAATGAGGTAAGGCAAACAGTGGACTGGGTCTTTTAATGAGTTCGGTTAGCACCTCTTCAGAATGGCTTAGCTAAACTGGCTTTGGGACTGATTGCTCTAAGGAATGTTCAGTAACTATTGGAGAAATAATTGTTGCTCTGTATGGAGTAATACTGTATGTTCTAGATGCTTGTTGAAATGTGTTTCTTGCTGGATAGGGTACTCACTTGCCAGTGTGTGTCAGACCCTGGGTTCTAGCTGTAGCACTGAAAGGGAAAGGGAGAGGAAGAGTATATGGGATTATGCCTACGCTTTAATCAGCGTGAAATAGGAACAGAATTGAATACCGTGTGTACAAGTGAAGATCCATTAAATGACTTCTTTTCTTTGTGGACAATTACAGCTGCTGAAATAGAAAGGTTCAGTGCCATGTTCCAGGAGAAGAAGCAGGAGGTACAAACTGCAATTTTGAGAGTTGATCAGCTTAGCCAGCAACTGGAAGATTTAAAGAAGGGAAAACTAAATGGGTTCCAGTCTTATAATGGCAAGTTGACAGGACCAGCAGCGGTGGAGTTAAAAAGACTGTACCAAGAGCTACAGGTAACTCACCTGGGCCTGGGGGATAATTGTGTAAAACTCTCTCAGTTTTCTCCTTAATAGAAGATGGATATTCAGGAACTGGAAACAAATAGATTCTAATTTAACAGGAGGCGTAAACTATCTTCAGTACAAAATATTTTTGAATGGCTTCATTGAGATGAAATTCACAGAGCATACAATTCATTTAAAGTGTGCCAGAGTATCTTTACAGAGTTGTGCATCCCCTGCCACACAAACTTTAGAACATTTTCATTGCCCCAAACCCCCCTCGATAATGCCTTTAAGAGCCAGCAGCCAGGAATCTGCCTTGAGTCTGTCTGGAGTTGTCTGTCTGGCAATGGAGTCACCACATGTGGCCCTTGTTGACCAGCTTCTTCACTTAGTGTGTTTTCAATGTGAGGACGTAGGGCTGGGAAGGTGGCTCAGTGGTAGAGCGCTTGCCTTCATGCCTGAGGCCCTGGGTTTGATTCCTCAGCACCACATAAGCAAAAAGAAAAAAGCCGGAAGTGGCGCTGTGGCTCAAGTGGTAGAGCGCTAACCTTGAGCTGAAGAGCTGAGGGACAGCGCCCAGGCCCAGAGTTCAAGCTCCACAACTGGTCCCCCCCCCAAAAAAAAAAGAAAGAAAGAAATTCAATGTGAGGACTCAGTTGGCAACATAATGAAGCCTGAGTGTTAGTCTTGACACATTAGTTGCCACCTCTGAAATCCTTATTTCCAGGCTACTGTAACAACATAGCACTGATGGGAGACTCAGAGAGCAGGCGTGGACTCCCCCTGGTTCTGGAGGTCAGGGAGTTGACAGATTAAGTTCCTGATGTGAGCTATGTGTACTTAGTGTTCCCACCCTCCCTCTTTCCTTCCCTCCCTCCTTCTTTCCCTTCCTCCCCCACTCTCCCCTTCTCCTCCTCTCTCCCAGTTCTCTCTTCCTTCCCCCTCCCTCCTCTTACCTTTCTCCCCTTTTTGTGAAGTTTCACATAGTCCCATGTTTCCCCTCAGGGCTGGCCTCAGACCACAGTCCTCCTGCCTGTGCTTCTGATAGCTGGGGTGGTGCGCGTCCACTGCTGAGTTTGGTTAAGATGGAGTCTTGCTGACTTTTTGCCAGAGCTGACTGTGAACTGTGGTCTCTGCCCCTTGAGTATAGGGATTTTATTTGTGAGCCACAGAGCCCAGCTTGCTGACTGGTTTGCTTTTTATACTGCGGTTTGAACCCAGGGCCTTGTGTTTGCTAGGTAGGTAGGCCTCTACCACTTAACCCATATTCTCCCACACTTTTGTGCTTTCAGTTGTTTTTCAGGTAGGTTTCTCACTTTTGCCCAGGGCCAACCTCAGATCTCTTACCTATAGACTCATACAAAACTGGGATTACAAAATACTGGTGTACCTTGCCCATCTTACTGATTGAGATGGAGTTCTCGTTTACTGGTCTCTCTTCCTCTTTTTCTAAGGACAGAACTACCCATCCTATTGTGGGTGCTTGCCCTCTGACCTCATCTAAAACTTACCACGGAAAGAGGCTGTACCATACTCGGGCATTGGTGGCTCACGCCTATAATCCTAGCTACGCAGGAGGCTAAGATTTGAGGATCCCTATTCAAAGCCAGCCACACAGAAGTCAGTGAGATTCTTTATCTTCAGTTAACCACCAGAAAAGTGAAGCTGTGGCTTATGGTAGAGTACCAGCCTTGAGTGAAAAAGCTAAGGGACAGCAGCCAGGTCCTTAGTACCAGTCTACTACCAGCATGAACACACACACACACCTACCTCACTAAACATCACACACATGCACACACACACGCGTGTGCACACACACACACACATACCTCACTAAACATCACCTTGGGGCAATGTTGCGATTCTTCAGGGCTTTAGCATGTGAATTGAGGGCAGGGTCACACACTGTTCATAACAGTCGTGACAAGTTCCCTGTCTCAGAAGTTGTCATCCATGAGTGCCTTTTCAAGCAATTTTATTAGGACTTACTAAGGAAAGTCCTGTAGTATTTTATGAAACAAGAGTGTTTAGCTATGAAAATAAAATCACTTGTTTCTATTAAGTTCTGTTAACATTCTTTTGCATGTCAGGCAATTGTTAAATGCTGAGGTATAATGAATAGGCGAGTTTATTTCTAACTATTGGACTACAGTTTGTTCATACATGTTTTGCCTCCTATCTGGTGAGCACATGCAGATATTTGTGTACCTAAATAGTTTAGCACCTATGGGAGTGCTCCCTGATACTGTCTCTTCTTTCCTAGCTCATTTTTTAAAAATACTGATTACACAGCTTTGAGCAGAAATTAAGAGACAGTGCCCAGGCCCTGAACTCAAACCTCCACCTCTCATACTGACACAATAGAAATTAATTTAAAAAATACTGGTTATAAATGAGTGAAATATAAAGGCCTCGTTTGGGGTTCCAGGTTATCCGTTGTGAGCGTCTTGCTGCCTCTGTGTTGTTTGCTCTTGGATGGCTGGGGTATAGCCGTGTTTCTGGTGGGACAGGCACGCCTCCTGGTTCTGAGCGCCACTGCAGGGGCTGCACAGTGGTGGCATCCAGGGTTCCAGGCGTGGTCTCATTACCAGGGTTGTGTTTTAGAGAGGAGAGATAGTTGCAAGCATTTTCTGTTTCTTTATTTCGTAAGAACTCTGTTCTGGGGCAGACATGGTGAGATTACAGACATGAGATCTGCAATCTAATCACTGAGGGAGCAGAGGCAGGAAGATCATGAGTCTGAGGCTATTCTGTGCTATGTAGTAAGACCCTGCCTCAAAAAGAGCTAGGAGCAGTGCACCAGTGGCTTACGCCTATAATCCTAGCTACTCAGGATCTGAGGATCATGGTTCAAAACCAGCCCCATGAGACTTTTATCTCCAATTAACCACTAGAAAACCAGAAGTGGCGCTGTGGCTCAAGTGGTAGAGCACTCGCCTTAAGCTGAAGAGCTGAGGGACAGCGCCCAGGCCCAGAGTGCAAGCCCCACAACCAGAAAAAAAAACAAGAAAAAAAGATCTAGGGCTGTGGCTCAGTAGTAGAGCACTTGTCTAGCACCATGCTTGCCTGTTACTAATCTATGAACTATGTGGCGCACAGGTGACAGTGTATACATGTAAACATATCCAAACTCCAGGCTACTTTTTCTTCTTTATCTCTTTGGCAAGAGAATTTGTTGGAGAGGGGAGAAGAGGGTGGTATTTGACTTTTTAATTAGTGAAAGTCTTATGGTGTATTTTCTATTTTGAAGATTCGTAACCAGCTTAACCAGGAGCAGAATTCAAAACTCCAGCAGCAGAAGGAACTCTTAAATAAGCGCAACATGGAGGTGGCCATGATGGACAAGCGAATTGGGGAGCTGCGTGAGCGTCTTTATGGCAAGAAAATTCAGGCATGTAAATGAGAAAATGTCTGCGAGCTAAACTAATGTCAGTGGTTCATCTAAACTCCTCAGTGTCCTTGAATGACGTTGAACTCCTACCTGTCACAGCTGATACAACAACCCCTATAAGAGAGACAGGCAAATATCACTTCCAAAGACTCACTGCTTCCTAGCATGTGGGGGCAGAACCTCATGGCCTGGCATTCAGCTTTCCATCTCCATCTTTCCGCAGCTCTGTCTCTTCTGCACTGGGGTGCTATTGGCCCTGGAGTGGTGGCATCCAGCCTTCATGTTTTAACAGTCTAAGCTGCCACTTGAAGCCAGTCCCTTAGCCTGTGTCTGTAGCCTTGTGTCCTTGCTAGAAAGGCATTGGTCCTTTCTGCCCCAGGTGTTGTAAGGTTCCTACGAGTAATTCATCTGGAGGGATTTTGAAAACTCTTGAGAAAGATACCACATAAGGGGTTATAATATTTTTTAAACAATCCTTATGCTGGTTTTACTTATTTATTTATTTATTTTTGAGCTTTATTTATTTATTTATTGTTAGTGTCTTTGTTGTTGTTGTTGTTTGTTGGTTGTGGGGCCTGAACTCTGGACCTGGGCGCTGTCCCTCAGTTCTTCAGCTCAAGGCTAGCACTCTACCACTTGAGCCACAGCGCCACTTCCGGCTTTTTCTGTTTATGTGGTGCTGAGGAATTGAACCCAGGGCCTCATGCATGCAAGGCAAGCACTCTACCACTGAGCCATCTTCCCAGCCCCAGGGGTTATAATTTTTTAAATGTCCAGTTGGTAATTGGAATTTCAAAACTACTAAGTACCCACTGGACAAAACTTGAAACAAGCTAGGCACTGGTGGCTCATGCCTGTAATCCTAGCTCCTCAGGAGGCTGAGATCTGAGGATCACAGTTCAAAGCCAGCCTGGGCAGGAAAGTCAGAGACTCTTTTGCCAGTCCTGAGGCTTGCCTCCAGGCCTGGGCACTGTCTCTGAGCTTCTTTTGCTCAAGGCTAGCACTCTACCACTTAAGCCAGAGCGTCACTTCCAGCTTTTTCTGTTTATGTGCTACTGAGGAATCTGCACAGCAGGTCCTCAGCCTTGGAACTTGAGTCCTTCTTTCATTTCAAGGCCTTCCTCCACTGGGTGGATGAGATCCACATTATGGACCCATCTGCCTGTCTCAGAGTCTACTGATTTAAATGTTAATATCATCTCAAAAATGCCTGCACAGGAAGTGGCACTGTGGCTCAAGTGGTAGAGCACTAGTGTTAAGCTGAAGAGCTGAGGGACAGCGCCCAGGCCCAGGGTTCAAGCCCCAGGACTGTAAAAAAGAGGCAAAAAACAGGGTGGTGATGGTGGCTCAGTGGTAGAGTGCTTGCCTCACATGCATTAGGCTCTGGGTTCCATTCCTCAGCACCGCATAAACAGAAAAAGCTGGAGTGGTGCTGTGGCTCAAGTGGTAGAGTGCTAGTCTTGAGCTGAAGAGCTGAGGGACAGCACTCAGGCCCAGAGTTCAGGTCCCACAACCAACAAAAAAAAAAATTCAGGAAGAGATTATTACTTATCAGTTGCTGGTGGCTCATGCCTGTCTGTAATCCTAGCTACTCAGGAGGCTGAGCTCTGAGGATCCATCGCAGTTCAAGCCAGCCCAGGCAAGAAAGTCTGTGAGACTCTTATCTCCAATAAACCACCAGAAAACTAGAAGTAGCCTTGTGGCTCAAGTGGTAGAGTGCTAGTCTTGAACTGAAGAGCTGAGGGCCAGCACCCAGGCCCAGAGTTCAAGCCCCAAGACCAAAAACAACAACAAAAATAACACTTGTAAAGCAACATCTAGATTGGTAAATAACTGAATGTCTAGGTACCAAGTTGATGCATAAAATTAACTGTAACAAATGGCTAGATCCATTCTATCAGGATCTACCTGAAGAACTTGGTGCTTCTGCAGAGATGTGCTTCCACTGAAGATCTTAGATACTTTAAGCGGTTATGAAAGTCCTGTACCCTCTCCCCAGAATGGTGTAGTATTGTACACAGAACCTTGCAGACAGTGGCAGACACTATGACTCTCCACTCTGAAGCTACCTGGGGACCCTGAGGAGCCAGAGGTTCTCTAATTAGAGCTCCTTGCAGACTCTTGGTGGCATTGTGTGACCAGTGTCCTCAGACACCATCAGGATCACAGTCTGTCCTGGGTACTTTGCCCTACGTTTTTTTTCCAGTCCTGGGGTTTGAACTCAGAGCCTGGGCACTGCCCCTAAGCTTCTTTTGCTCAAGGCTAGCACTCTACCATTTGAGCCACAGCGCCATTTTTGTTTTTTTCTGTGTATGGGGTGCTGAGAAGTCGAGCTCAGGGCTTCATCCATGCTAGGCAAGCATTCTACCACTGAGCCACATTCCCAGCCCCTGCCCTGCAGTCAGTCAGTCTCTCTTTCTTTCTCTCTCTCTCTCTCCCTTCCTTCCTTCCTTTCGTCTTTGCATTTCAACATTTCATTTATTGAATTTTTCAGCATGAAGATTTGGGGGTTTATTTGCCCTGCATTCTTTTTTTTTTTTTTGATCCGGTCGCAGGGCCTGAACTCTGGGCCTGGGCGCTGTCCCTCAGCTCTTCAGCTCAAGGCTAGCACTCTACCACTTGAGCCACAGCGCCACTTCCAGCTTTTTTCTTTTTGCTTATGTGGCACTGAGGAATCGAACCCAGGGCCTCAGGCATGCAAGGCAAGCGCTCTACCACTGAGCCAACTTCCCAGCCCTTCCCTGCATTCTTTACAGTAGCTCTTACCCAGACTTCATGGACAGAGGCACAGAGGCTAAGAAAGGCTAAGTAACTGGCACAGAGCAGTGCAGAGAATAAATGACAGGGAAGGTTTTGAAGCTATATTCAGACTACAGACCTCTGCCCTTCTAGGGGAAGGAGAGCATCCCTCAGATGGGGACAAGGTGGTCCTTGTCACTAAAAGTGATGCTGTCTTCACATCAGCCCCTCACTCTCGCATTGCCAGTAGGTGGGTATTATTAGAGGAAGTGGCTTCTACAGCAGTGAACCGTGCCCTCTGCAGGCTCTCTTCTAGATGCCAGTCTCTTGGGGTGAGGGTCTGTCCAGTGAGTGCTCTGTGGTCTGAGCAGGGAGTCGGGCTGAGTTGAGTTTGGAAGAATCTTGACTTTGATTTCTTGTTGGTTTGCAGCTGAATCGTGTGAATGGCACATCGTCACCGCAGTCCCCCCTGAGTGCATCTGGCCGGGTTGCTGCCGTGGGGCCTTACATCCAAGTTCCCAGCGCTGGGAGCTTTCCTGTCCCAGGGGATCCCGTAAAGCCCCAGTCTCTCACCATCACCTCCAGCGCTGCCCACGGAAGAACAAAACCCGGTGAGTGGCCCTGCCCCTTCATGGGAAGGAAGAGTTTCTGGAAGCTCCTAGTCTTTTGGTATAACACTTAGAAAGCCAGAGGTCACCACAATAACAAATTCTATTTACTGATCTGAATGTACCATAGCTTTTCAAAACACAAATGATGGCCACATGGAATCCTGACTACTTGGGAGGCTAAGATTGAGAGGATAAGAGTTTCAAGGCCAGTAAGAGCAGAAAAGTTAATGAGACCCCATCTGGTTGAGCTCTTGGTTGATAATCGGGCACAGTGGCACACACCTGCCATCCTAGCTACATGGCAGGCTGAGAGCAGGAGGTTCTTGGTACCATTCAAGCTAGAAAAGTCTGAGATTCATCTCAACAGAAGCTTCTTGGCCTAGTGGCACACACCTGTCATCCTAGCTGGAATGGGAAGCCTAAAATAGGCAGATCATAGTCCAAGCTTACACCCAGATAGGAAATGAGACTCTGCCTCAAAAAAGGGCTGGAGATGTGGCTCAGCAGTAGAGTGCCTTCCTTTAGTGCTAATTCCTGGGGCTGGGAAGGTGGCTCAGTGGTAGAGCGCTTGCCTTGCATGCATGAGGCCCTAGGTTCGATTCCTCAGTACCACATAAGCAAAAAGAAAAAAAGCGGGAAGTGGTGCTGTGGCTCAAGTGATATAGAGTGCTAGCCTTGAGCTGAAGAGGCCCAGAGTTCAGGCCCTACGACTGGACCCCCCCCCCAAAAAAAAGAAAGTGCTAAGTCCTGAGTTCAATCCCCAGTACTAGGCCAGGGGATATTAAGGATATCTTTCTCATAACCCAGGTTTACTTTTTCCTGAGGGTACTTGGTGGTCAGCTATGGATTCCTCACTGGACTTGACTCTTGTTGGTCACTTGTTAGTCCAACTGTGGCTGGCCAGACCAGGGTCACCTCCCTATAGATAGAGCTCCCCACTCAGCAGTTTCCATCAGTCAACCTGGAATAGGGCGTGTAATAGAGCCTAGCATACACAAAGCCCAGGCTAAGCCTTCAGCACCACAAAAACGTCCACAAACTATTCCTTTGCATTGTTGTGCTGTGTGATAACTCCAGCTCTGTGCTCAAGACAGCTGGCATTCCAGCTGGCACAGGACCAGCCCTGTGTGGAGACTACCATTGCTGCTTCAGCCAGACTTCCTGACCACAATCCCTTCCATGTCCTCAAATACTAAAAGTTGCTTCATTTATGGGAACAGTATTGCTGCTCTCCTACTGTTAGGCTTGTGTTAGATTACTATTTCAGAATTGGTGACTGGTTTGTACTGGTCTTCATGTGTGTCATTTTCTCTCCCTCGGTACGGACAGTGCCTAGTGATGCATCAGCTCTTTCTGGCAGCTTAGGGGTTGAGCTCAGTCCTACAGGACGGACCTTTCCTAGCCCCTGTGTCCAGAGCTCAGTCCTACAGGACGGACCTTTCCTAGCCCCTGTGTCCAGAGCTCAGTCCTACAGGACGGACCTTTCCTAGCCCCTGTGTCCAGAGCTCAGTCCTACAGGACGGACCTTTCCTAGCCCCTGTGTCCAGAGCTCAGTCCTACAGGACGGACCTTTCCTAGCCCCTGTGTCCAGAGCTCAGTCCTACAGGACGGACCTTTCCTAGCCCCTGTGTCCAGAGCCTGGCTCAGATCTTTCTGGTCCCACAACAGTCACACAGAGGCTTTGGTCAGCATGGCTCCTCTGCACAGTGGTCGTGGATGAGCTATTGCTTATCTGTGGTAGGAGGTAGGAGTGGCTAGTCGTCTATGCAGATATTAGTGCAGCCAGCTTCTGCTGACATCATTATTAAAATGTCGAAGCTTAAAATGTCACTACTCTCCATTGTGGGAGTGTGTTGTGCTGTTTGTTGAGTTGGCAGAAGAAGCTGCCCCCCAAAGAGCCTCCACTCTTCTTTCCACTGGAGGGTGAAGCACCCATTCCAGGAAGCCTGTGTCTGCCCGCTGAGGTAGAGCCTGGATAGCAAATCCCTGGTAGGGACACTTAACCCTTGTCGTTGGCTGATCTGGTTCTGTGTCACACAGATGGCCATGGTAGACCCAGAGTGAGCAGCATGTGGACAGTGTCAGACCTGGACATCGGGCCTGGCTGTGGCTCTTCACAGCACTCTGCAAACCTGCTTGTGAACCGTATGTCAGCTGCCAGGTGTAGGGGGGGCACTTCTGATCTGTAAAACTGAATCAGCAATCATTTGTTTTCCAATCTGACAAAGGTTCCTCATACCTAGACATAAGCAGTGCTTTGAAGGATCAGGTGCCCTTTCCATTCCAGACAAACATCCCCCCCAACACATACACATGCATCACACACACACACACACACACATGCATCACACACACACACACACATATCCAGAGAGGGTTGGCCACCAGGGGTTAGAATCTAGGACAAAAAGGTTTGCGGGAAGCCTGGCGCTGGTGGCTCACGCCTGTAATCCTAGCTACTCAGGAGGCTGAGATCTGAGGATCGCGGTTCAAAGCCAGCCCGGGCAGGAGAGACCGTGAGACTCCTATCTCCAATAAACCACCAGAAAACTGGAAGTGGCGCTGTAGCTCAAGTGGTAGAGCGCTCGCCTTGAGCTGAAGAGCTGAGGGACAGCACCCAAGCCCAGAGTTCAAGCCCCACGACCGACAAAAAAAAAAAAAGGTTTGTGGGGGAGGGAGGAGGGGTTGTTTTTCAAAAGTTAAGATGAACTGGTAAGCATGGTATCAAAGGCCTGTAATCCTCAGTCCCCTGGGCAGGAGGAGGGAAGACAGCTGGACAGCTGCACTCCACAGTCAGCTGCACATTACCCATCATAATTAGTGAATGTTTCTTCCTTTATAATAAAAGGAAATGACCTTCCTTCTATACCTGCCGTGTCCTGAACAAAGAAAAAGATTATTACTCTTCTCCCAATAACTGGTTTCCATAGACCCGCCTATGGCCATGTGATTTAAAAAGCCACTGAAGCAAAGTGCTGGTGGCTCACGCCTGTCATCCTACCTACTCAGGAGGCTGAGATCTGAGGATCGCAGTTCAAAGCCAGCCCTGGCAGGAAAGTCCGTGAGACTCTTATCTCCAATAAACTACCAGAAAACCAGAAGTGGCCCTGTAGTCCAAGTGGTAGAACCCTTGCCTTGAGCTGAATTGCTCAGGGACAGCGCCCAGGCCCAGAGTTCAAGACTCACAACCAACTTCAGGCCCAGAGTTCAAGCCCCACGACCGACCAAAAAAAAAAAAAGCCATGACCCCCAGGTGGCTTGGCCACCCCTGTGGGGCCTTGCTTTTCTGGTCAGCCTGGAGTTTTCAAGGCCTCTAATAAAGTTTCTTGGAGCCCACACATACTCCAGGGCTAAGATTCGCACATTATTGCCTGAAGGCTGGCAGGCCGCAAGGAACAAGGACAGTTGGCGCTAGGCCTTGGAATTCCTGGCTAGCACTGCATGGCTGAACCAGCACTGTCTCAGAGCCCTCCTGTCTATAGTGACACTCAGCAGAGTAGTGATCAGGTGATCATGTGTCCTGTTGTCACATTTTGCTCACGAGCTCCGTGTGTGCCGATGCCACAGGCTAGGCCAGCTAGGGACACCAGGGGCATCGAGCCCTCTCAGCACACCACTGCCTCGGCAGCGGGGCCTCCCCCTGGGTTGTGCTGGAGCTGGCTTGGGCCACTCACTCTCCTGTTTTATGAGACAAATGGTCTTCCTGCCACAGCTTGGATATCATCCTGCCTGTGGTGACTCCTGCTTGTCCCCACCCACTAGTGGGCCGCGGCTGCGGTACCTCAGGGCAGGTCTGCACCCGCGCCTGATGAGAAGCGGGAACCCCAGTCGGTGCACAACGCTGACCCACACGCCATTCAGTCTCGGGTCACCTTTCATGACCCCACATGACCAGGCATGACCGCAGCGCACTTGTCAGTTTGGAAAACTCTGTAAAAAATCTGTTTTTCCGGGAAATGAGGTTTTGGCTGGCTTTCTAATCACAGCAACAAAATGACACTGCTTCTCCTGCTGCCCAGTCAGAGGGAGCCTGTCCTGACCTTTGGTCACAAAGGGACGGGCTTCCTCCCATGAAAGGAAGCACAGGTCAGACTGAAGTGGGAAGATAAGTCCTCATTGCTCTGTGTGATTGTGTTTCTAAATGGCACTTGCTTGCACATCCATGCCCGGTGCTTGCTCTGTTGTGCGGTGGGGCTGTAGCCGGCCGGGCCTGTGCTCCGTGGACAGCATCCGTGCGCTGCACAGTGGCGGGCGGCAGCTGAGGCTCCTGCCAGGCCTGTGGTGGTGGAGCAGGTCAGCAGCGTGGCACTCGGTGGTGGCTGACTTCCGGACTCCTAATGTGAAACCCCAGTGTTATTCCACTCTCAGCTAATTGCAAGAAAAAAAATCTATTTACCTTCTGTGTTCTTTTTAAGCTAATGATGGAAGCTGGCCAACATTAAAGCAGAATTCTGGCTCTTCAGTGAAGCCAACACAGATGTCCAGTGCGGACTGGAAGGACCCAGTGATGGAGGGGACCCTCAAGCAGGGTGCTATCTCAAGCCAGCCGGTGCCTCTGTCAGCTCTGGGAAGCACTGAGAAGCTGGTAGGCTATCCCCATCCTTAGCTGAGTGCCAACAAGTAGAAGGGCCTGGGAGAGGTACCACACTGCAGATGAATCTTGTTAGTGTCTGCCTGCCTTACCCCAGAGTCTTAGATAGCTACCAGACCTAGGAAGCTGAGCGGTACACAGTTGCAGAGCTGTGGGGGCCGGAGGCTGAGCAGTACACAGGTGCAGGGCCTGCGGCTGGGGTTTTTGTATCTACTTTGCAGACAGATGATGAGCTCAGCAGGGCCTTATACGCTGGTCACATAACCACAGGCTGATTGAAGGATTCCAAATCCTACTGGGTGTGGATATATGCTTATCTTTTTAAAGAGTGACTCTGTTTTTCTTCTTAATACCAAAACTTAGGGCATCGAGATTGGTAAAGGCCCACCTCCTATCCCTGGTGTGGGAAAGCCACTGCCTCCAAGCTATGGGACATACCCGAGTCCTGCGCCACTAGCCCCTGGCTCAACGGGCTCTCTGGAGAGGAGGAAAGAGGGCAGCTTGCCCAGACCCAGCACTGGCGGGCCCAGTCGGCAGAAACCTGCTCCGCTGCCACCAGCAGGCAGCGCCCCACAGCCTGGCTCATCGCAGCAGATCCAGCAGAGGATCTCAGTGCCACCAAGCCCCACGTACCCGCCAGCAGGGCCACCTGCATTTCCAGCTGGCGATGGGAAACCTGACCTCCCACTAACAGTGGCTATCCGGCCCTTTCTGGCTGATAAGGGCTCAAGACCACAGTCTCCCAGGAAAGGACCCCAGACAGTGAATTCAAGTTCCATCTATTCCATGTACCTCCAGCAAGCCACACCACCCAAGAACTTCCAGCCAGCAGTGCACGGCACCTTAAATAAGTCCATTAAAGCAGGTACAAAGGGTTTCTATTCTTCACCTGGGACTAGGAAGTACTAATTTGTATCCTTACAATTGAACCATGTGCTACTTAGGATGAAACAGTTCGGCCAGGGGCCAGTGGCTCACACCTATAACTCCAGCTACTCAGGAGGATCACAGTTCAAAGCCAGCCTGGGCAGGAAAGTCTATAACACTCTTATTTCCAATTAACCACTAGAAAGGCTGAAAGTAGAGCTGTGACTCAAGTAGTGGAGTGCTAGCCTTGAGCAGAAAAGCTCAGAGACAACAGCCAGTCCCTGAGTTCAAGTCCCAGGACTTGCACAAAAACAAAAACCATAATTGTTATAAGAAGTATGGGCCTGGGTGTCTGTGGGAGGGGAATGAACGATGAAGTGCACAGAGCAGATTGTAGATGGACCCCAGCTCTGATCTCCTGTCTGGGCGTCCATATCCTTGAACTGCTTAGCAAATACAGCCCCTAGAAGGATAAGAACAATTCCCTTTTCCCTCCTGCTTCGTGGTCACTTGTTCTAAGAGCTGTCCAGTGAGTAGGGTGGGCCTTGCTTCTGGGGCCTCTGGCCGAGCTAGAAGAGTGCTGGGTACAGGGGGTGTGAGGAGGGCCTCTGCTGCTCAGAGGTCTCCCAGAGCCGTGAGAAGCTGCTTCACACCGTCTTCTATGGGTGTTGGAGAAGGGCAGACAAGAGGACATAAGCTTCTTTCCATACGCCCTGTGGAGGCCAAAGGTAGTTCTCCCTGGCCAGAGGATCCTGTGGGCCAGATCTGGGCTAGAGCCCTTGACATCCTCGGCTGTCACCTGCAACAGCTGGATGTGTGGGCCAGGAACCGAGGCGTGCCTGGCCACTCCCTGCCAAGAGCTCTGAGGTAGAGTGGAGTGTCAACGAGTGGAGAAGCCCTGGCATCCAAGGGTCCTCCCTGCCCACCCGAGGTGCCACGCTCAGATGCAGGTTTTCTGGTTTGTTTCTCTTGAACCAGAAAGTGAAGCAAGCTTGTTTGGGGCAGGGGATGTCAGGCCAGCAACCTTTTCTTTTATGAAAGCCTAATAGTGGGCGCTCAGATTTAAGATAGATGCATTAGACACACCTCTGTTAGGGTGTAGAGATTGGAAATCAGAGCCTAGGCGTGTCAGGAGCAGGAGGTGGTCTCTTGTTGTTAAACCCCAATCCTGGCAGCCAGGCTGAAGCTGTTTTTCTTCTTCTGTCTCTCCAGTGTACGGCAAGCCTGTCTTACCGTCGGGGTCCACGTCTCCATCCCCCTTACCCTTTCTTCATGGGTCCATGGGCACTGGCACATCTCAGCCGCAGCCCTCTTCAGAATGTGCTGACAAAGAGCCAGAGCAAGAGGGCCCGGCCGCGCCCGGGGACGGCAGCGCAGTGGAGAGCCTGCCGAGGCCGCTCAGCCCCACCAAGCTCACCCCCATCGTGCACTCCCCGCTGCGCTACCAGAGCGACGCGGACCTGGAGGCCCTCCGCAGGAAGCTGGCCAACGCGCCCCGGCCCCTGAAGAAGCGCAGCTCCATCACAGAGCCCGAGGGCCCCGGTGGGCCCAACATCCAAAAGCTGCTCTACCAGCGCTTCAACACGCTGGCTGGTGGCATGGAAGGCACCCCTTTCTACCAGCCCAGCCCCTCGCAGGACTTTGTGGGCACTCTGGCCGATGTAGATAACGGGAATACCAATGCTAACAGCAACGTGGATGAGCCCGCGCCCGCCCAGCCCACGGTCCCCCTCCCCGATGAGCCCGCCCCTTCCTCCGATGCCAATGATAACCAGTTACCTTCCCCAGAGCCCCAGGAGCTCATCTGTCCCCCAACCACCCACCACACCGCAGAGCCCACCGAAGACAACAACAACAACGTGGCCACGGCCCCCTCCACAGAACAAACCCCCAGCCCCGTGGCTGAGTCCCCATCTCTGGGGGAGGAACAAGTCCCTCCAGCACCCCTCCCTGCCGCCGTCCACCCTCCAGCTGCCTCCACGGTGGGTATCCTTGCTGACCAGAGCCAGGCCTCCCTAGCAGCTGTGTGGAAGGTGGAAGCAGCCATGTCCTGGCTGCCACAGCCAGCCTGATAACCCTACAGACAAAGCAACACGAGGAGGTTGCGCAGTCACCTAGTGAAGCACTGCTGCAACACGGAGGATAGGCAGATAGGAACGAACCTTCTAGACGAGCCTCTGGGGAGGTCCGTGTGCTGATACGGAGGGGTGGAGCATTATCACAGGGAGTCTCGGCAAGACCATCCTGGGTGGGTTTTGGCAGCTGGAAGAGCCTGTGGGGTGTGGGGTAGATTCCCGCGGGCTGGTGTCTGGCTCACACGTAGCTGTCGGAACACACTGAGCCTCCCACAGAGCCGTGCCCGGCCCCTCCCAGCCAGGAGCCCCAGCAGAGCTCAAGCCCCACAGATGCCCACGCCTTGGTGGGATGTCCCCGGGGCTGTCTTGGAGAGCCAGTGGTTTTAGAGTTTCCGTCCTGCTGCTCCTTCCCCAGGGTGGGTCCTTGGCCGCCTGGATACTGACAGCACTCACTTCCTCACAGAGCAAAAGAACCAACCTGAAGAAGCCCAACTCCGAGCGGACGGGACATGGGCTCAGAGTACGCTTCAATCCCCTGGCGCTACTTCTAGATGCTTCTCTGGAAGGAGAGTTTGATCTGGTGCAGAGGATCATCTATGAGGTGAGCCACACACACCTGCATGTACTGCTGTGAGGTGGGGGTGGGGTGCTGCTGGCTATGATGTGATTTGTGTCTTAGGTGGAAGACCCCAGCAAGCCCAATGACGAGGGCATCACCCCCCTCCACAACGCAGTCTGCGCCGGCCACCACCACATTGTGAAGTTTCTGCTGGACTTCGGTGTCAACGTGAATGCTGCCGACAGCGACGGATGGTGAGCACACGGGCTGGGTGTGGAGTTCCAGGGCTCGCATTCCCTGCCTCGCAAGAGGAAAACACGTATTCTAGACAGTTGGGAAGCACGGAAGAAAGAACACCTCTCTCCTGCGGTTTGCTGTCTTTCCTGTCCTTTCTCTTAACTATTTTGGTAAAGAGACCTGGTTTGTTTTTTTTTTTTTGGGTCCGGTCGTGGGGCCTGAACTCTGGGCCTGGGCGCTGTCCCTCAGCTCTTCAGCTCAAAGCAAGCACTCTATCACTTGAGCCACAGCGCCACTTCCAGTTTTCTGGTAGTTTATTGGAGATAAGAGTCTTTCTTGCCCAGGCTGGCTTTGTATTTTTTTGTTTTTTGGGGGTTGTGGGGCTTGAACTCTGGGCCTGGGCGCTGTCCCTCAGCTCTTCAGCTCAAGGCTAGCGCTCTACCACTTGAGCCACAGCGCCACTTCCGGCTTTTTTTCCCTTCTGCTTATGTGGTGATGAGGAATGGAACCCAGGGCCTCATGCATGCAAGGCAAGCGCTCTACCACTGAGCACCTTCCCAGCCCAAGAGAGCTGTTTTTAATGTCCTTAATGTGCCTTATAACATTGCAACCTGAGTATTTGGCGAATCATTTGCTCTTCCTCTTTTCAGATGTTCTGTAGGGAAATGTCTGAATTCTGTATATACATTCTATAGGAAAAGTACCCACATGTCTCCTTTATTAGACACTTAAGCACTTGAGTTCTGTTTCCATTTGCCTTCAGATTCAGTGGGCAAATGGAGCAGGGCCATGAGTCTACTCCAGGGTTTTTGAACTTGCATACAACTCTAGTTTTTAATTGTGGTAAAATGGCTACGCTTTACCATTAGCCATTAGTAATGTGCATGTCGGTGTGTTATGCAGGTTGACGCTCAGTGCACTGAGCAGGTTATAGGCCATTACTTAATCTACTCCTTAACCTCCCTTCTCAACACTATATATGGTCTAAAGCAGTTTTCACGGAAACCATGCCTTTATTTTTTTTTAAACACAATTTTTTAATTTATTGATTCAAAGGTCCATGGATACAGTAGGGAAGCTGTAATTTATTCTTTTTTTTATTGTAAAGATACTATACAGAGGGTTACAGTTACATGAGTGAGGTAATGAGTACACTTCCTCTTGAACATTGTTACCCCCTCCGTTGTTTTCCCCCTACCATCCCCTCCCTCCCTCCCTTCCCCGAGGTTCTTTTTTTTTTTATTGTGATTAAGTGATTACATAATTTCCGGAAATTCACAGTATTATGGAATAATGATGCTCATTTAAAGTCACAAGTTCATTCTAACTTTCCTGGAGCAAATTGTCTGTCACAGTCTGTAATATATAACGGTGCTCACATGTTATACACTGTACATGTGATCAGCAGCAGGAAACCATGCCTTTAAAAAAGCACTACAGCTTTCCTGGCACAAAGGCGTGGCATCCCCACGAGCATTCTGTGGAGGGTGTTCTCGTGCGGTTGGTTCCAGACCTCCGTCTTCCCTCCTGTGGCTCCAGGACTCCGCTGCACTGCGCTGCTTCCTGCAACAGCGTGCACCTCTGCAAGCAGCTGGTGGAGAGCGGCGCTGCCATCTTCGCCTCTACCATCAGCGACATTGAGACTGCTGCAGACAAGTGTGAAGAGATGGAGGAAGGCTACATTCAGTGCTCCCAGTTTCTCTATGGTACATATGTGCCTCGGCTTCTTCCCTGGCTGAGTGATGGGGTCTGGGTAGGATTGTACTGGCCCAGAATGTGAACTGGTGTGGTGCTTACCTCCCTTTCCTTACTCTGAGGACATGTGCGAACCATGCTGTTACAGGAACGAGAATGACCTCGGTGCTGTGCAGCCCTGCGCTGGGAGTAGCTCTGATCTGTACACTTGTTTCTGGGGTGCACTGGGACTTGAAGCAGAGCCCATCCATTCATCCACGTGCTAGTCCAGGGTTAGCCATTTGATGAGTCAAGTTCATGCTAAATTACTGGCTGCCATCCCAGGTCCCATTTTCCCAAGGATTGGTCACGCACACGCTACCCAGAGCTCCCACAGCAGAGCTGGTAGGGCGGGGCAAGCCAGAGCTCTGAGGGTGGAGGGCTGACAGGCAGTGACCACACCGGCCCCTCCCGGGGGCACCTCAGGGAGCTGCATGGCCGTGGGTCCACTCAGATGCACAGTCTACAGCACACCTACCACCCCGCCAGCCACAGCTGCTTCTCACTTCTGAAAGTTTGTGCTAGATCAAAATTCCAACTTTTCCCTTAAGGACTGCCTTTATGTCAGGAACCAGTGTCTCATGCTTCCATTCCTAGCCACTCAGGAGGCTGAGATATGGAGGATCATAGTTCAAGGCCAGTCTAGATAGAAAAATAATGACACATCTCCAAAATAACCAGCAGTCTCCAAAAAACCATCAGTGCTGGCCAGGTGCTGGTGGCTCACACTGTAACCCTAACTACTCAGGAGGCTGAGATCTGAGAATCACAGTTCAAAGCCAGGCAGAGATGTCCATGAGACTCTTACCTGAAAACGGGAAGTGGCACTGTGGCTCAAAGTGATAGCAAAAAAGCTCAGGAACAGCACACGGACCTTGAGTTCAAGCTCCATGACTGACCAAAAAAAAAAAAAGCAATGCTGGAGATAGGGCTCAAGTGGTAAAGCGTCAGCCTAGCAAGTACAAGGCCCTGAGTTCAGACCCCAGTGATGATGAGGAAGGGGAGGGAGGAGGGAATTGCCTTTAGAACCACAAACCTTTACATAAAACCTAGAGCAAGGTCTCAGTCAGAGCCAGGCACCAGTGGCTCATGCCTGCGATCCAAGCCACTCAGGAGGAGAGCAGTTTTAAGCCAGCTTGGGCAGGAAAGTTCATGAGACCTCTATCAACTACAAAGAGAAAAAAGCTGGAAGTGGGGCTGTGGCTCAAGTAGAGCATTAGCCTTGAGCACAAAAGCTTAGGGACAGCTCTTAGGCCCAGAGTTAAATAAAAGATTTCAGTCAGCTCTTCATGTTTATGGGTTCTGAAGATGTGGATCCAAACAATTACTTAGAGTATTGGACAAAAATTACTGGCACTGAGCCGGGCACTGGTGGCTCACGCCTGTCATCCTAGCTACTCAGGAGGCTGAGATCTGAGGATCACGGTTCAAAGCCAGCCCAGGCAAGAAAGTTTGTGAGACTCTTATCTCCAATAAACTACCAGAAAACTGGAAGTGGCGCTGTGGCTCAAGTGATAGAGTGCTTGCTTTGAGCTGAAGAGCTGAGGGACAGCGCCCAGGCCCAGAGTTCAAGTCCCAGGACCAACCCAAAAAAAAAAAATTACCTGCACTGAACACCTAACACTCTTCTTATGCTAGTCCCTAAACCATTCCATGTACGATGGCTTACACACAGCGAACTAGTTTAGGGCATGAGGGAACGCAAACGTAGGCTCTGCACAGACAACACACAGTTTTGCAACAGAGATGAACATCTAAGGGTTCGGGGATCTGCAGGATCTGGGACCCCTTCCCGCATAGACACCGAGGCTGCTGTGCTCTCGCAGGGGCTCGGGAAAGGGTGTGCACATTAAGCTGCACCTGGGGCAGCAGCTGGGTCTGGGGCAGCAGCTGGGTCTGGGGCAGCAGCTGGGTCTGGGGCAGCAGCTGGGTCTGGGGCAGCAGCTGGGTCTGGGTGTGGCCCTGCTCTCCCATCTCAGCCATCAGCCTTGGCGGGTCTCGCTTGTGCCTTCGTGGGGCTCCTTGCTGTGAACTGTCTTCTGCCGGGCTCTGATGGTTGCTCTTTGATCTTAGGGGTGCAGGAGAAGTTGGGAGTGATGAACAAAGGCACGGTATATGCCCTGTGGGACTATGAGGCGCAGAACAGCGACGAGCTGTCCTTCCACGAAGGGGACGCCATCACCATCCTGAGGCGCGAGGATGACAGCGAGACGGAGTGGTGGTGGGCTCGCCTTGGGGGCCGGGAGGGCTATGTGCCCAAAAACCTCCTGGGGGTAAGTAGGCACTCGGCGCAGTCAGCTGGCCTCGTTAGCATGTGCCAGAGTCACAGGAAACCCTTGTGGTATGGGACCTGGTTCTGCGGGAGACCCGCGCACGCGCCAGCAGCTGCTCTGCCTGCAGTCAGAACATGAGACTCAGGCAGGATCCCTGAAGGTGCCTGGCTATACCCATGCCCAGCGAGCGCCCAATCCCACGGAAGGTGCCTGGCTATACCCATGCCCAGCGAGCGCCCAATCCCACGGAAGCAGAGCTCCCGCTAGCGGCTGAGTGCTTTGCTTGGGGTGACCTTCAAAATAACAACTAGACAGCCACGCGCCAGTGGCTCATGTCTGTAACCCTAGCTTCTCAGGAGGCTGAGATCTGAGGATCACGGTTCAAAGCCAGCCTGGGCCGGAAATTCCCTGATACTCTTATCATCCAGTTAATCACAGAAAAAGCCAAAGTAGTGTGATAATTCAAGTGGTAGGGTGCTAGCCTTGAGCAAAAGGAGCTGAGGGACAGCACCCAGGCTCAGAGTTCAAGCCCCTGGACTAGCAAAACAAACACAAAAACAGCTGGGTGCCAGTGGCTTACTCCTGTAATCCTAGCTACTCAGGTGGCTGAGATCTGAGGATCTCGGTTCAAAGCCAGCCCGGGCAGGAGAGACCGTGAGACTCCTATCTCCAATAAACCACTAGAAAACCGGAAGTGGTGCTGTGGCTCAAGTGGTAGAGCGCTTGCCTTGAGCTGAAGAGCTGAGGGACAGCGCCCAGGCCCAGAGTTCAAGCCCCACAACCCCCAAAAAACAAAAAAATACAAAGCCAGCCTGGGCAAGAAAGACTCTTATCTCCAATAAACCACCAGAAAACGCTAGCACGTGGCTCAGGTGATAGAGTACTTGCCTTGAGCTGAAAAGCTCAGGGACAGCTTTCAGGACCAGACTTCAAGCCCTGCAACAAAAACAAAACAAAAAAACCCTAGTTCGTGCCTACAGTCACACCCTGATCTAGAATTTTCCATAGTGAGGTATAATGGTTTACACATGTAATTCCAGCACTCAGGAGGCTGAGGCAGGAAGAATACCAGTTCCAGGCCAACCTGTGCTAAATAGTGAAATTCTGTTTCAAAATACAAATAAATCTCTAGGTAGGCAGGAGGGGGTTGCGTCTTGTCTCCTCCCAGGTGCTGTGGTAGGGCTGGCGTAAGTCCCTCGTTCATTTGATAGGCCTTTCTGAACACTGAGGCATGAGCCCAAGCGTAGGTCCCTGTGCTCAGGGTGCGCTTACGTCCTCATGTGGGCCAGCAAAGTGACACTTTCGGGTTTGGTTTGGGTTGTATGTGCCAGTCCTGGGCCTGAGCACTGTTCCTGAGCTTTTTTTTGCTCAAGGCAAGAAGTGTTCTACTAACACTGGTGGTTAATTAGAGATAAATCTCACACTTTCCTGCCTGGGCTGGCCTCAAAACCAGTCAGTCCTCAGCCTCCTAAGTAGCTAGGATTCCAGGTGTGAGCCAGCGGCACTGGCAGGGAGGGAGGTTTTAGGTGGTGTGAAGTGCTGAGGGAAATGGGAACGGGTACTCAAGGGTAGATCAACTCTTAAATGGAGGGTGGGACGCCTCAGGCACTGGGGAGACCAGCCTTGCCTCTGGGCAGTGCCGGCACCGCACCTGAGGCCAGTTCCTGCTCAGAGGCTTCTCTGTCCTAACTGGCCCTACTGCTTTCCAGTTGTATCCACGGATCAAGCCCCGGCAGCGGACGCTCGCATAGACACCCCCGGAGCACCTGTCTCCCAGCCTCCCCGGAGCTGCTGGAGAGGATTCTGCAGCCCCAGAAAGACCCAAGTTAGGACGGTCTCATGGTGCTCATTTTAGCAGACAGTGTCCACAATGTGAATTCTGTACTCCCCAGTCTGCCGCAGCTGGAGAGGCCTTTGCCTCTGAGACAACTGAACTTTGCCAATTACTGTAAATCCAAATAAATATCCAGCTTCCAAAACACCCCCCCATGTTGCCAGTAAGAATCCTGGAACGTCCTCGCCCAGTGGCTGCCGGTGAGGACTGAGTCCTGCCTCACCGGCCCCGAAGCTTCCTCCCGCGCTGTGTCCGCTGCCCTTCCACAGGAGCCAGCTGCTGCCAGAGCGCAGCCCAGCCCGCGCGTCCTCCTCCCACTCCTCCCACGGGCGGCCCCGCCTGGTGAACGTGTCCCCTGCGTGGGCAGTTCGCACATCCTGCTTCCAGCTGGGCCTCCCAGGAGCACACGTGCTTCTCTGCACAGGGTGGTCTCAGCCCTCACAGCTCGAGTGAGTAGATGACGGAGTGAGGGCAGCGGGCCGGGGCGGGCGCGAGGGCCTGCTCCACTCCGTCACCTTCGGGCAGGTTCCAGACTCCCCGTGGGGCAGGTGCTGCCCTGGGTTGGCTGTACAGACAGGCTTGTTTTTTTTAACACACCAAGACTATTGTTCAAGAACGATCAGAATTGGGTTGGACATGTTTTCTCATTAACACATGGGCCCTTGGTTCCCTCTTCACGCGAGTCTTGTGTATAAATCCACACGGACGCTCTCAGGGCTGTGCTGTGGCCAGCCGGCACCCGGAGCACCCGCTGTCCAGGGTGGCACCGGGCTGCCGCTCGCTGTGGAGGCTGCCCCTGCCGTCCCACCGCCACGCCACACCACGCCACGCGTGCAGCAGACCACCCCGCACCCGGCTTCCGACCGGGGCAGAGACTCGAGACATCTGGACACAGAGGCAGAGCCTGGCGTGTATTTTCAAAATAGGTTTTAATTGTACGCTTTATGTACAAATTGCTGTACAGTCATCCTAATAAAGTGAAATCGTAAGTAAAAAGTAGAAAAGTCCGCTGGTGGCTTCTGCTTGCTGACATGTCAAAGGACCGTCCACTGGCCGAAATCCGGGCAGCCAGCGCACAGGCTAATAAGGCAAGTGTGGTAAACGGGCCGGTGAAGACAGGCAGGCTGCCCTGCGATCAGAGCCTTGCGTGCCCCACCAGCAGGCAGAAACATGGGTAGGCCACAACTTTCCCTAAACCTCAAGGTGCAGATTACCCTGGAAATGGTTTAGCAGTAGTGAGTTCTATCTGCTCTCTTCATTGAGTACCAACAATGTAATACACAACTCTGAAGGCTGTGAAGCTGCTTATAGCATTAGTGAACTGTGAACATATTGCACTAGGTAAGTGGACATTTGCTTGTCCCAGATACTTGAGTTGCATTTCCCAGGACAAGGCCCTGTGGTGCTCAGGCAGGGGCAAGCTGCTGGATCGGTGACCAGATGCCCGCTGAGCTCTGCTCCACACGTGGAGTTAGCTATTGGTCCCGAGATTCATAGAGGAGCTTGGCAGCCTGCAGAGGGACCAAAAATAAAACCACAAAGCACCATCGGTCCTGGGCCTGGTGACAGTTGAGCCTGCGTGCCTTCTACAGAAGCTGCTGTGTGTACCTCAGATATACGACAGAATCTTCTAGAGAAGGCAAGCGTTTCTCTATGCCTACAGACCGGCCTCCTCCTCCCTTCCCCTCCCCCAACGGTACCTTGTGCATGGCCGCCAGCCATGCGGTCGCCTGCCTCTTGCTGGCATTCGCATCCTCTCCGGCCATCAGCCGCAGCTGGGTTGTGCCCTCCGCCCCCGGCACTGTGTACTGCAGGCACATGCCTGTGACCCGAGCACTGCCTGCTAGAGGAGGGAGATGGAAGTCAGGATGTCCAGCGGTGGCCTGGGCACCCACCTGACCCCGTGCTGCTTAAGGAGAGCCGTGCTGGACGCGCGCAGTGACGTGAGCACCTGTCTCCACAGCAAGCTCTGCTCGCGGGAGGCAGGAAGAGGGGGCAGAGCGCCAGGCCCTGTGCCCTCCAGCCAGACAGCCAGGGCCCTCGTCTAGAGTAACAGAAATTACCAGCCTGCCGAGTCCTGCCCTCCGCCGGGGACAGGCATGCACAGCCAGGGTCGGGCGGGTGGGGGAGCCGGCTTAGGCTCTTCCTGGCCATCAGAAGATACGCCAAGCAGATGGCCACGCTCCCCCGGGTCCACTCCTAGACTGAGCTGGCCGTCGCCATCCCCTGCTGAAGCCGGGGCTAAAGCTCACCAGACCACGGATGCCCTGCCAGGCGTCACTAGACCGCAGGCGCCCACACAGGCCCGTCCTGAGGGCCGGTCTGCCAGACACCCTCCGACTCTGGACTGCTGCCAGCTGTCCCAGTCACAACTACACAAAGAACAGAAGCGACTGTGCTGCACGTGGCCGCACCTGCAGCGGCGCCCGCCTCCGGAGAGCCCTTCAGGCAGACACAGCTCACCAGAAGGCCTGAGTGCCGCCGGCCAGTGGAGCTGGCACAGCGCAAACAAGGCTGATGGCGCTGCGGGGTCTCCCACATAGCCCAGCCCACAGGCAGATGGCTCTGCATCTTGAGCACTCTAAGAAAGCACTGGATAGAGCAGGGCAGCGAGTCTGCATGCCCACACTACGCTAGGGTACCAGGCCAGCACTACAGGTCTGCCCTGCAGAGCAAGCGAGAGGCTGTGTGCCTTCACAGGACCAGCCAGAGGCCATCCCTGGAGTGGCCCCCTCCTGAGCTCAGACCCCTGCCCCTGGCAGCAAGCATCTCCAGCCAGCGCGGTACCTCTCGCACACACCACCAGCCCAGCTCCTGCCTCTCCTTCAAGAAGTTGGGAGGGAGCTGCGAGAGTCAAGAGCCCCAGAGGGCTACCGCGGGCGGAGTGAGCCAGCTGTGCAGGCAGCGTGGAAGAAGTCTGCTGTGCCCACGCGCACCAGTGCCCGCTGGGCGTGGGGCCAGTCACACCTGTGGCCTGCCTTCTGGAAGCTGCCAGACACTGCCAGAAAGCTTCCAATACCCAGTACTGCTGTGCTCCAGGAGATCACTGAGCAGACATTTTCTTTCACTTCTGCTGTATGGCCCGTGCACCCGACTAAAAGAAGGGACCCTGCGTTTCACAGGAACACGGGCATGGACGCCTCATGCACAGAAGCCAAGGGGCGGAGGAGCAGGGCCACGGCATGCTGGGGGAGCAGAGGAGGACGCAGCTGACCTTCAGAGGCAGGAGGAGCCCTGGGAGGCTGGTGTAAGTGGGAGAGTCCTTTTCTACGTCAGAAGACAGCCAGCCAGTGGAGAGAAAACAACCAAGAGCCAGTCAGCAAACAGCAAGGTGAGTGAGGTCAGGTGGGTTTTCAGGGCCACTGTAGCTAGGACGGGACGCAGGGCGCAGGCGCCGTCAGGCCGCTACAGCAGGCCTGAGTGCTGCTCCTGGCGCCAGCGTGCCACGTCCTCCCAGAGCCTGCTGCCATGAGCGAGGGGCCACAGGTGCGGCGCGCCAGGCACGTTTCCTCTCGTCCTAAGCCCACGCACTGGTCAGTTCTAAAACCTGTGACTCAGCTCAGGGCCCCCCAGACAGCGGGCCATTTCAGGTGCAAGCGCAGAACTCGGTCCCCAATGGCAGACTCCCCTGCAAAGAAAGGGCGCGGGCACGCACCTCCAGGAGCGAAGCCTTCGGTAACAATCTGCACCGTGGAGATGTTGGCGATTTCAATTTCATGGTGGCTGTCCCCACCCAGAATCAAGTACCTGTAACAAACCAAAGCGCGGCAGTCACATGACCGAGGCCCAGGCCCAGCCCTGCCCCGCCCTGCCGCCCGGGCTCTGGCTCTTACCTCTGGTTGTTGGAAAGACGGCAAACCATAGTTTCGGATTTCTCTGAATTTCCCAGCGTTACGTGGAAAGTGGCTCCTTGAGAGAAAGCAGACATCTGCACGTGACCTGGAGCCCCCGCACTCTCTCCCCAGGCCAGACCCCCGAAAGCCCATCGCTAGCTAGAGAGGACACTTCAAGAGCAAGCAAGAAGCCAGCGACAGCTGCTCCAGCTGTGCCTTCCACCGGGCAACAAGGCATTGCTGGGGGAAGGGCCGACAGGTAACAACGGTGCTGCTGCCTGCAAGGCTTTTGCTTTTGCTTGCTCACGAAGCCAGCCGGTGTTTCTCCATCCTTCAAAGAAAAGGCCCCGACCAGACTGAGGTAGCGCCTATTCTTTCCAGCTAACCACTCCAGGACCAAAGTGGCAGAGGAGGCTCTGTGACCCCAGGGTGGGGCCCAAACCCCAGCGAGGGCGGCATGCTCACCGCTCAGGAGCACCTTCAGCTGCTTGTCGTAGAACTCCGCCTCCCGGTGGGACAGCAGGGCGCACGCGGCGCACTGGCGCACGGGGTCCACAAAGCACATGCGCCGCAGCGGCACCTTCTCACTGCAGCACCTGTCGCAGAAGCACCTCCCGCACCGGCGGCAGTGGTGCTGCGCGCGGGGGGGAGGGGCGGTGAGCACCCAGGCCAAGCGCAGACCTGCGCTGACGGCCCACGGCAGCAGGCCTCCCCGCCCCGGTACCCAGCTCTCCCCAGGGGGTCTCGCCAAGGCCCCCGCTGCCCACCTCACCTTCCTGGTGATAAAGTCAAACTTGGTGTCACACTGCATACATCTTGGACACTGGAAGAGAATGCAGACAAGTGTTAAAGCCAGCTCCCGCTCCGGAGCTGCTGAGCCAGGCCTGAGGGCACTGGGAGAGCAGAGCCGTCAGCACCAGCCTCCCGCCTGCACACGGCCGCACTGGCAGCTGGGAAGTCAGAACTGGCTTCTCGGGCTCCAGTCGGAGGCTCCCGGGCCGGGTGGGCGGCTCTGGGTCAGCCGGGTCCTGGCGGAGGGCCCAATGGCCAGACTTCCCACCGCCTCCCTATCACAGTGCGAAAGGCAGCTGCCCCTAGCTGCCCCATCTGGCCTGCTCCTCCTATGGGAGCCACGTTGAGCCCGTGAACTCTCTTGACATCCCAAGCAATTCACTATAGCAGGAGAGGCGAATGAAGGCGGAGCAGGAGTCTGTTAATGCAGGGATTCCACAGACAGCCCACAGGAGCAGATGCAGGGAGGGAGCTTCCGTTGAGTCCTCGCGTTCATTCCCAGCCTAGCACTGAGGGGATTTGTGGAAGAGGCTGGAGAACAGGAGCGGAGGGGGTGCAGCATGGTCAGAGCCAGGCCTGGAGGCCACCTCGAAGATGCCGCTTCATGCAGGGAGGAGACCAGGCTGATCTCCCTCGCTTCACGGGGGAGCAGGGAGAAGGGACGTGACCTTGCAGATCAGCTTCACTCGGGAGCAGGGAGAGGTGGCCCCCGGCAGGAGTACTTGGCACGTGGACCTGGCACATGCAGAGATGTGTGTGTGTGTGTGTGTGTGTGTGTGTGTGTGTGTGTGTGTGTGCACTCCTTGCTGCAGCCAAGCAGTGACGCGGGGTCATGTGCCCATACCCCCTCCCAGCCACCGAGCCCTGGTGCAGTGAGTCCCCCCTTCAGCTTCTTCAAAGGCAGACCTGCAGAAGCACATTCAGCGGAGTCCTGCTTGGAGGACTGAGTGCTCAGCAACACCTAGAGCAGGAACCCTGTTTCCTGGAGGTGCTGGGTGCAGTGCAGTGTGGGAGGGAAGCGTCTGAACACTCCGGGCCCCGTCCCGGGACTCCCTGCCAGGCAGACCTGCGGTGCCTGGGCCTGTGGCAGGCCTGAGAGGCTCAGCGCTGCGAACTGGCCCGCGGGGTCCTGGGCGTCCACACATGCCATCGATGACAGCCCCTTCTCTCTACATCTACCTTCCTCTGTGATCTGTCTAAACACATCTCACAGGCCTGACACGGGCGGCCCAACTCAGGAAGGCTTGTGGTGCTGCCACACGGAGCCGGGGTGACCCAGAGCCTGCACCCAGAGAAGCAGACCGCAGCGCAGCTGAGGACGCCCCGCACAGGACGCGAGGGCCACGCGCTCCTCAGGCCAGAGGCCAGGCGGAGGAGCGCCGGTACTGGGGACGGACTGCCCTGCACCGCCCCCTAGTGGCTGGGGGAGGCCTGTGGGCGGCGGGTCCGGCTCTGAAGCGTTCCGGCCACCACGTGGGCCCTGAGCCCCTCCGCTGAAGGGATCCGGCCATGAGCGTAGGGCGCTCTTACAGTGACAGCGCTGACTGTCCCCAGCTCTGTGCACTGGCGCCCGCCTTTCCACAGCCACGGGAAGGACCCACCGAGTCCCAGGGCAGCCCCTGGCACTGGGGGAGAAGGGCACCCATGAGGAGAGCTGCTGGGTGCCCCCATGTCAGGGACTGGCCCTGGCAGCACATAGTGTCCTGCAAACAAGTGGAAGGGAAAACCCACAGTGACCCAGCCGTGGGGGCGGGGGGGGGAGGAAAGGGGGACCGGAGGAGCCCCTGAGGGCTGGAGGCCAGGACTCAGCTGAGCGGCTGGGGAGAGGAGCCACAGCTTCGTTTCGCTGTGGTGGGCGGAACTGGGCAGACAAGACCTGAAGTAGGGGTCACGCTTTTTTCCGTTGTGGTAGTGCGAACCAAGGTGCTTGTGTGCGACAGCAGCACGGTCCACAGCC